CGGCGGACAAACAAGGTATATTATGTGGGATTTTCATAGGTACCTACTGTTATTACCTAGATATCTACAACCTACAATACAACAAAATGTCACAAAACGTCACCGCGTCGTGGCCACAAAATTGTAAACTTTAGGTAGGTACGTCAGTACTAAGAAAACAATCTTGATGGGTCACTTGTCTTGATAAAAACCTGTGTTTACGTTTAGTGACATTGAGTATATATAAAAAAGTAAGAATACAGGTAAGTATTTTTGAAAACAATTTATAGGTAGGCAGAACTAATTACAATTATTATCTAAATATTATAAATGCGAAAGTTTGGATATTTGGATGGACGGATGAATGGATGTATGTTACTCAATCACACCAGAACCGCTGAAGGGACCTGGATGATATTTTGCTCAGAGATAGGTTATAGTCTGGAATTTTATTTTTTAAAAAAACGTTACCCCCACACTAGGATTTTCTCCTGTATCGTGGAGGCAGTTTACAAACATCCAGACCCGGAACAACTATTTGTAGGCCATACAAATACTTGTTCCGTGCGGGATTCGAACCCGCGGCTCCCAGTGCAACAATTCATTGCTAAGCAACTGCGCCACGGAGCTGTAAATAACATATATGATACCGTTTATTCAGGTATTTCGTTCCCGTTGGATAATTTTTGCAGTTACACACGTTCGAAGCCGAACTCTTGAGTGATCTCTGCATGACCACTCGGGAAAAACTAAACATAATAAAGTAAGCAATCTATATTAGGTATATAGAGCCACAGAGGTATAATATGAAGCGATAAAGCAGCGCCTAATAATTTCGCGGTTTCACCCGCGTCATCACGTGTCCGAGATGCGTGGCATGACATGACACCTAGTTCAAGCATTTTATAATTGCAATCAAATATTTTATTTGATAATAATGTATGGAAAAATTGTCATGATTAATGGAGTACTTTTATTTTATCTGTCGGCATACTATGCGCGGTTTTATCCAGTTTTAAAGAAAAACGTACACGATACATGAAAGTGTGTAGGCAAAAAATGATTCTAGATAAATTTGCTATCAACCTCTTATACTTATTAATCAATTAAACTTTCAAAATACCATAGCAACGTGAAATGAAAGAGTTCAGAAATAAAGATGTAACTAATCATTGTTACGCTCACCTGGGAGATAGATAAAAGCACTCAGTTAATTTTGAATTTATTTTAGCTACCAGCTGTTCCCCGCGACTTCGTCCGCATTTAGTTAAGGGTGTTAACTTTGTTGCACGGACACCTAATAATTTTTCTAAAATTTAAGCAGTCTAAGTTACTTCTTATAACATGAGCTGTCTACTAGTGAAAGTCCCGTCAAAATCGGTCCAGCCGTTTTGGAAATTAACCGGAACAAACAGACTGACAGACATACAAAAATGTTAAAAATTGTGTTAATGTTATAAGTAGCGTATATAATTTCATATGCAATTAGTAAAAAGCTGTTATTTTGACATTACAAACAGACACTTCAATTTTATTTATTTGTGTAGATATTAGATAATGATTGAACTAACGGCTAACCTAACCTCGCTCATAGAAGCTTTCAATACTGGCTTCTCAGTTCGCACCGGGCTAGGGGTTATACGTTGTTTGCGCGTCAAGGCCAAGTATTGAATTATTTTAATTTTACATTATCTCTTAAACTATGTACTATATAAACATGGTATAAAGAACGAACTTTATCTTCAAAAAATTGTCTTGATAATGAAATAACTTTCGTTCGTAAGGATAAATATGCCATGCCTAATAATTAAATTTTCATTTTTTTTGTCAAAATCAAAATGCCTAATTGGGGCTTATATATAAAAAATAGAGATATGGTATCGCGGACTTTTTTTTAGACGAAGTAAACATCTATATTTTCTGCTTTATTATATTAGTATAGATGTTGCATCGTGTTCGTGTAACTTCGTTTTTGTTCAAACGGTTCTGAATGCCGTACGAACAAGACGTGCGTGAATACTAGTGTCGATATGCTCATCACTGATACTATCTCTGTCGGGCACGATGCCAGGTGAGACAGCGTGCTTTTTGGCCGCGCCCACCAGCGAGTTCGAGCCCGCGACTTGTGCCACCTTAAGGAGTATGCTAGGGCTGAATCTGAATGACAGGGTGAGAAATAGTGTGATAAGAGAAAAGTGGTTCGCAAGACGACGTTGTGACAAGGATTAAGAAAGGAATGCTTCGGTGGTTTGGTCATGTAGAAAGAATGAACAAATTTATGTTGCAGAAGTGAACGGCAGGGTCGGGAAGGTTAACGTTTTAAAAAAAAAGAACTCCGAACATCAAAGTTTTTCCCCGGCGATTAAGTTGAATCTTTTTTATCTCTATTTAATATAAAGTATTTTAAAAATCCATTCGATTTAGAATTTAATTTAGTATTCCATGTATGTCCGTAGGTATTTTTTCGCCATATAGTATTTCAAGAAGTATCAATTCTCGAGCGTCAAAATCGTGATATTTTTGTACAACCTGGCCTTAAAGTAACATAATTCGCTAAACCGTAAGATATTTGTCAATATTTCGATAATATAAATATACAGTACAATCTACGTTATATAAAATATTTAGTCATTGCCAAACGTTTTGATCGTGATGGGTGTGCTTTTCAGTTCATATTTCGTTTACAGACGCTTCACTTCACGATTGAATACTATCCCGTATTCATGCAGTGTTCTCCAATAGATCAATGTATTTTACTCACGTCACTTATGATTGAATGCCTACTTTTATATGTGATTGAATTACATATCTGGTTTATTATGACTGCAAACGGAATCCATATCACTGGCACAGCAAAATACTAACATGAAATAGCGACATAATGTTTTCGATCCTCCCCTGCTTCGCACCGGCTTTTCTACCGGGTCTAATTGTGAATCTAAACCATTCTCTAATCAACTTGACCATCAAACACAAAATTTCATCAAAATCGGTCCAGCCGTTTGGGGAATTCAGTCACATACACACGGATAGAAGAAATATATAATATGCATGTATTATACATATAAACCTTCCTCTAGAATAATTTTATTGATGAAAACGGCATCAAAATCCGTTGCGTATTTTAAAAGATCTAAGCGTACAAACAGCGGGAAGCGATTTTGTTATATATACTATGTAGAAATGTTTCGTGTGGCGAGATACTTTTTACTGGTAATAAGGCATTCCATTTTAATCCACAGGGCGAAAAAGCATCTGCATGTCAATTGTTAATCTAGTAAAAATACCCTACTTAATGGTAGGATTCCTTTTGCCGCTAAATAGTAAGTAAGGCTTGCATTGCTTGCTAGAGAACTAGTATTATTGTAGGCTGAGAGGCGTTTCATCTTTTTCCTCGCAAGTGAAAATGCATCTGTAAGTCTTCTTTGTTAGATGTTCGATGCAGGTTTTTGTTTATATGTATATGATGAGGGTGACAAACGAGCACACAGTCTACCTCATGGTAAGTGGTTGCTGCGGCCCATAGACACCTACATCTATCCTCGATTACGAATCAAACTGCAGATGCGTTGTCACCTGTGAGCACTAAGACGGAATGCCTTGTTTCCAGTAAAATGGTTTGCCGGTTCTCTACACTTACCATACGACACAGCAGCGCGAAGCAGCTATTTAACGTTGGTATTCTGTGAGAGCGTTGGTATTTTTATTTCTGAACTGCAGTAGCTATTTAGCACCAGGTGAATTGTAAGTTCGTTTGTCACTTCAGTTTAATGAAAAAGATCCAAACCATTGGCGGGAAGCAGCGAAGCGTGCGTTACAGTATGTTTCGCACGCTATACGTGACTCATCAGCGTGGACTGGTCATAGGCCTTTTTTATGGGTTTTTAAAGATGTTATATTCAATTTGAACCTTTCAATAATAAATAGATAAATTGTATGCTGTGGCCCGTTGACATCAGCATCTAAATGCATATACGTTGTCTCGCCTGAGGACTATGATGGAATTTCTCGTTTCCAGTAAAAAGTGACAGTTCTCTACACTCACCATAAGAAACACGGCAGCTATAAGCTGCTATTTTACGCTGGAATTCTGTGAGAGCCCTGTCTTTTCAGGCGAGCCGACCCATTGGTGCTACAACCATAAAATATAAATATAGCTGCAGCGTGGCTCCACCACTTATTAAACCTAACACTGTTTATAGCTAAATAAATCCATATTCCAAATTGGCCGATGTTAAATTGATATTATAATGAATGAATCGTAGCGGAGCCTACACTACAGCACAAGTCCCTATTCTTATCTACCCGTTACTTCCTACCGCTGAAATAAAACGATATACGACTAAATTGTATGTAACTACGATATGTAATATAATATTAATCTAATTTTATACTCAAGTATAATACTCCCATAGTTTTGCTTTATTTAAAACTAATGGTTTTATAACTTTTATGTATTTAAATCGAAAGCTTTTTCTTGACTTACTGTAAATTTGTAGCTGAGCGCCTTAGAATTATCTTGATGATAAGTAAAGTTTTGTTAAAATACCTCGGCTTCTTGAGATTTCTCTTAAATGACTGTCGTATAATTATTCTTCAGTCTGTGTGTATGTGACTGAACTCGTCCTAAGCGGCTGGACCGATTTTTGGTGAAATTTTGTGTCTGATTAAGTCGATTCGTGAATGGCTTAGATTCAAAACTTTAAAAACGAAACAGAAAAACAGAAATGTCCCACGGAACTCAAAGAATACTTAATTTTCCATATAAAACTTACTTGACTCATTTTATATCATTTAATTTTAACTTCCTATGTTTTGTGTTCTTCACAGCACCTACCTATAGTCACGGGTAACTGAGAGTGTTGGGTTTGGATTTAATTTGATTGATTATGAGATCTTAAGGAGATGGTAGCACTCAGCCATCTTTTGTATTGAAATTACGATGATTATACCAATTGTGATTAATTTTGTTAATAATTTTCATGATTACTAGATTCACTTTGCACATTTTTCGTTTACAGGTGGTGTTAGAAGTGGCGCACCGCGTTGACCAAGAAGGTGTGGTGGCAGTGGACTCGGTGGTAGAGAAGCTGATATTCAAGCCGCAGGACGTGGTCTCGATCCGAGCTAAGGACTCGGACCTCGAGTACGCGACGCACGACGTGTTCCAGACTGATACGGCCATCAGCAAGTTTAATGGTGAGGTTCCATTTTGATATATTATGATATTCTATTGGTTTTATATTTCGTCTTATCTATGGCTACAGGAACTTCTGAAATTCTTCTTTTAATATCTATTATATAGGCACGTGTTAGTGTTAATTGCGCAAATTGCTATCTAATTTATTTTTTAATGCTAAGTACCTATCTGCATGGCTACTGTAACATTACACATGCAACCAAGATCAAACAAAAAGATTTATAACTAGATTATCATCTGTGAAGCCTTGTAACCATACTGTTCTCACAGCCTGTAACTCTACTGAATCATCAATATATCCTTCAAACCGAAACAACAGTGGATGCACCATCAAGTTCAATCCGTCATCTCCGAAGAATATCTGTATCTTAGCCTTAATTAATCTCAAATATCATTGTAATTTCTTATATTTACGCGAATACTATACATTAAATTTTACGGATTTTATCGCACTTAATTTGATTTCTTTAATTCCTGACATTGCGGGCACTGCAGCACCTATGGTCACGGGGACTGAGATGTTTAACATCCTGATGATCCTGATATCATAGTCAACGAAGGCTACCTTCAACTTTTAAATATTAATCTTTGGTCTGATCTACTCAGAATGCGTTTACAGTATCTTGAATTTAAAAGTTAATGTGAAGTCCAATCCAACATCTCATGAGAATCTGATTGCTAACCTCAATCTCAAATATAAAATTCCTATATTCCAACTTGTTTGCAGGCAACGGTCGCACAGCAGAAGAGCGTCATTTGGAGCCGTGGGATGGTTGCGACGGAGACACCGTCGACACTCCGTCCCTGAACGGCGACGCCCGTTTGGATGAGCTAGAGTTGGATCACCGCGCCAACGGCTGGGACGCGAACGACATGTTCCGCAAGAACGAGGAGGTGTACGGTGTCCACAGCACGTACGACCACTCGTTGGCCGGCTACACGCTGCCTCTGCAGAGGAAGGACACGCAGGATTACAGGTGAGCTCACTGACGAATCCAATCTAATTAGAGTTGTTTGTGAGTTAATCAGCCTGTTAATTTTAGGGCTAACCCTTGCTCGAATTTAGGTATTCGAAATGCAGGTTGTGCGTAGAGTATTGCTGGTATATATGAGCTGGTGTTGCATTATGCCACCTAGCAGCTTTGGACGGTTAAAGCCAATCTCACCAGTCTCGAACACAGAAGCAAAGTAGGCCTTTCGGTTTCCCACAGGATACATTTTAGAGAGTGCGTAGGAATCACATAACTTTAGAAGCCGCTTCTGGAAGAAAGAGTTCATCATAAAGAGTCCCTCTTTCTCCATGAAGTCGGCCAGCTGCTAGCCCCTTGGCTTCCGTTGCCCTATTCCTAATTTCCCTACTTTCAGCTCACCGTTCGCTGTTGTGCCTAGTTTTGCGTTGAAGTCTCCTCTCTCTCCCATCCATTATCGGACAACCAGTCGCTTCAGCACTCTCTACTCTATCTGTTCGACTTACCACGCATTCAAACCAAATGGTTCACTTCATCGTTCGTCATGCATACAGCAAAGGAGTGGAATAAGCAGTCAGCATCTGTGTTTTCATCCGATTACAATGTGGGTGTCTTCAAGGCTAAAGTGAATGGGCTTTTGTTAAGTCAGTGCGCTTTACAAAAACGCAACACAAAAAAGAAAATGAGAAAGGTTAATAAAGAAAAGAATGTTAAATCGTGTACGTCGTTGTTATACCATTTATCGCTACACATTTAGTTAAATGAAGTCGTTAAATAACGCACTAGCGTACAATTAACAAATGAATTAAATCATTATTTTGCGACATCCTCAACACGAACACAAGGTCCAAAGTTAGTTAATTAAGGCCTTCTTATAATATAGGTAGAAATCCCCAGCCCACGCGTACAGCGATCGATACTTTTTTTTTTTACGAAAATAAAATGTATTTATTTACTAGAGTAATGGCAGAATCAGATTCTAAAGAGGACATTTAAGTATTTTTATTAATTTTTATAATTACTCATAATTTTATTTTTGAGTAAACCTAAAAATTTATCAAAAAAGATTATTATTTTTCTATCTAGTAAAATTAAACACATCAATTTTTAATGACAGTTTCGTCTAAACCAGGACGTGGCTGTGTCAAATATTTTTGTAAAATTGGTTTTAAGAAAGTGACTAGGGTAACCTAGCCTTAAGAGAGTAAATGTCTTCTTTAGTATAAAATAAAAATAAACTTAAAACTAATTAGGTTTAGTGTAAGGATTACGCTATATTGAAGGACTTGTCATTATCTTGACTAATAGTATAAAATGTGCCGGATTCACAGAGACGCAGAGGCTAAAGCGGAAGAGATAGCAGCAGAGATAGAAAGTACACCTTCATACAAGGCACGCATAGAATTAGAGAATGGAGATGAAGAGGAGCGATTTGCAGCTGTGGTGAGGCCTGGAGATGGCAATGGTGCTGGGAAATATGTAATACCGAACAAGCGAAAAAATTTGCAGGTAAGGGCTAAGTAGATGTTAGTTTTATTGCAAAATGAAAATTTACAGCATAATTTTTTTTTTTAATTTAGTATCATTCATAAATTAAAATCATTGCAATGAGGAAGAAAGGTTTTCGGGTGGATGAACTTGAACGGCCATTCACTAGACGAAGTGACAACTTGGTGTCTTTAAGTCATGCAGGAAGTCGCCGAATGCAAGTGACTCGGGACTGTGTTTCCGTGGCATGCTCAGCAGTGGACTAATGATGGGCAGTGAAAGATTAATCAATTACAAAAATCTTTTAAAAGAAACTGAAATTTCGTGATGCATTTGATCTCCATGCTACCATAATTAATTTTTAGTAGATTATTTCAGAATAAGCCTTATGAGTATGTGCGGGACGTATATAGCTTTTGGTTACATACGTCCCGCAGTTGGCACATACCTCCTCTCATTTTTGAGAGGGTTTTAGGACAAGGAAGATTACCGTTTTATTTTTCACGCGAGTCTTGGCTAACTATTTCAATAATCTACTACTGGTCGGCATGTGCCTTTTTAAAATAAATAATTATTGAGCAGGAAAAAGTTAGATTTTATTGCTCCCATCTCCAACCTAAAAATTAGGGAGCGACACTTAAGAATGGATCGTCATTTCTCGGTCGCCAGAGAATTTCCATACAAAAAAGTTGTTACATCTTGCTTACAAGAAGAGGGAATCAGAGTAGTATAAAATGTAAATTACCGCTAATCACACAACACATTGTTCAATGTTCCAGAGCGGAAAACTGGTGAAACCGACTCCTGGTAACGGGGGTGGGTCGTCCCCTGGCGCGGGCAAGTCGCCGAGCTTTCCGCACGCGACACACGCGCCCCACGCCACTCACGCGACGCACGTGACACACGGACCACACGCTACGCACGCGACACACGGGCCGCAAAAGGATAAGGAGCATCGACCTCCTCGACACCATCTCACGCCACCCTCCGAACGACGCCAGGATGATGCACCTGTCAGTATTTAATTTCACGTATAATATGACTTGTTTTTACCAATATAGGGTAAATAATATAATTTAAGAAAAGTTTAAATGCACGCATTTATCATAAGCTTTACAGCCTTGAACGGACTAAGCCTTCCAATGTACGCGTAGTCGATTACGTGTACACAGGAACGCTAGCCCGTACCTTGCAGCAACGCGTATACAATTTGAGCACGCGTGTCGACTCGCGGTGAGTCGTCGCCAATCGGCTTTCGGTTGCACAATGAGAAGTGCCGCAGTGGTTGGTGCACACGACAGCTGTTTCGAGACATGGCGGATACTGGCTTGCCGACTTACGATTTGTCACCACGCGTTTCTATCCACCTGTGGGCGTATTTGGCGTCGTCCTAATACAACGCGAATGCGCGATCATCGCAAGTTCAGGCGAATTTTACTCGTACGAACACACTATCAAACATACTGATCTTGATTAGGTGTCCTAATTGGCATTCGCGCGATGGGATCGCGCGACTTAATTATTTGACAATCTATTCGCGCGAACTTAGTTCGTACGAACGCGCGATCAAACATTAAAGTCGAATGGCTGTCCTAATTGACATTCGTGCGGCAATCGCTTCGTGTCGTCGGGTAGCTGGGTGAAGGGCAGGGACCCGACCTATATTGATTGTAAAATTCACCACGTATCGGTTTCATTTCGAACAAAGTACACCGACCCATTTTGTTTTTTTTTTTTTCATTGTTGTCAAGACCAGCAAAATAGGTCATCCGTATATTTCCAGAAAGTAAAAACTGGGCGTTTCTGACGTACATGATTAGCGCCAATGCTATGCGCAAATTGCGAAGCGAAGCGGAACCCGCGACCACTCGCATCGCTTACTCGCGCGATGATCGCGTAATTGCGTTGTATTAGGACGACGCCTTTAACATACCTAGATTACGCGTACATTGGAACGGTTAATCCGTTCAAGTCTTAATGATTTTAGGGAGAATTATCCTGGTGATTCAGATCAGGATACTAGGATAAAGTTATTAAATTATTGTATTGTCATCGATCCTTGATACGATTGCAAGTTTTTAAGTCAATATGTCTACAAGTTGGTGAAAATTACATTAAAAGATTTGTTACATAGATAGATACACGCAAAGCTAATAAAAAAGTGTTAAAAATGAGTAAAATCGCAAAATACAAGAAAAGAAAAAAATTATCTCTTTTCTAAATAAACGTCTTTTCAATAAAAAAAATATGCATACGGCATAACCTCTTAGTCATAATATATATATATATATATATATATATATATATATATATATATATATATATATATATATATATATATACTTTTTACAACTAATATTATGAGTACATGATTGGTTTTTTTTAATTAAGGTTAATTATGTTAGGTTAATTATGTTGAGAAAACATTTTTGTTGGATTTATTGGTTACATATTTTGTTGACCTATTTTATATAAGAATCAGTGGATATGTACGAAAATGATAATTTATATTATACTTTATAATAACTTCCATATTTTCTACTGCTCATGTGCAAAGTGAAGCATTGAATAACAATACAAATTCGAAATATAAATAATGTTCAAAAGGCAGAAATTTAAACACTCATACCTAGTACAACCCATTCGCTGTCCCGTGTAATACTACATAATATAATTCATTGCTGTTGTCTTATTATTGTGTTCGAAAATCGATAGTGAAAATGTTTAATTAAACCTAACCATCATCCAAACACTGACATTAAAAAATCATATATTTCAAAGTCTCAGTAGCTGTTTTAAATGAAGTGTGTAATTTAATTAGAAAGAAAGATTAAAGAGATAATGGTTTTCTTATTATCAAAAACAAACAAAAATGGAGTTATAGAAATTACTTTTGTTAAAAATAAATCAATAGACTGGTGTTAGGAAGACGCATTATTTGATTTTTGCCTTGTTATCGATTTCATTAAGTAATTGTTACGAAATTAAAGAGATTATGCTGAGTGTTATTACTGGCAATCATTTTGTAATTTGTAGGGGAAGCCGTTTCACTCATTTTTTTGCTAGTTGGAGTAGGTATGTGCCTATATTTAATGTGTGTACTATGACCATAAGAATAGGCCTGTTAAACTGTCATTGCGCACCTAACATTCATAACAAAAAAATTTTGGCAAAAAATCAAACTATATAATATTTATTTTTGCCCGACTACCCCAGGAAAGATGTAGTATGAAAAATAATAAATGGTAATTAGTAGTAATAGAGGGTAATATTTTTCGAGTATATGTATATATGTATGTATTTTTTTTTTTGCTTTAGAACGCTCTGTAGCCTAAATGGCTTGATGGATATAACATATTATGGGGTGTCGTTAAAATATCCATAGTTGTAGAAGTGACAAAGGATATAAAACTTTTCTCTTTTCATTAAACTTTTTAAATACTGTTTTAACCTTTGGACTTATTATTCCAATTGTTATGATTGTGATGTTTTATGAGGTTGTGATGTAAATTTGTGATAAGTGTCGTTGTAAGTATAAGTACACATAAGTATATAAATATAGTACGTGTTGGTTGCAGTCGAGCAACGGCAACGCGGCGGGCGGCGGCGTGGGCAGCGGCGTGGGCAGCGGCGGCGGTGCGGGCGGGGCGTGCGGCGGGGCGGGCGGCGTGGCGGCCAGCGCCAAGAGCTACGCGGCGCAGGCGGCCGGCTACCACGCGCCGCCGCCCTTCCCGCACCACGCGCAGTCAGTATCACTGCACTTGTACACCTATACACTGTTGCTACACTCTCAGGGTATTCAGGTTCTAACAGATACTGGTAAGGAATCGATATTTAACGGTCATAGGCAGGACCCGGCAGTACGAAACATTTCCGACCGGGACACCTTATGAATGGAGAAAAAACCGTGGGAGGTTTTACAAATTTTCTTCATGAGCCTTTCGTAGACACAGTTGCTCCCTCCACTGGCTACGGTTTGGTGACCTCTTCGGGGAAACCGAGGGTTTTGTGTGTGCAATACAAGATCAGGTTATTAAAACCAATTACTATCGGAGATACATTCTAAATGATGGCACCGTCTGTCAAGTCATCTCCGGTTGTTCGGCGTTTTCCAAGTCTAAGTACTTGCACCACAGATTACCCCCTAATAGATACCGCATCATTCAATATTTGTTCTGTTTCGAGTTCACTAAATTTGGTCCTATGCAAGGGTTGCGGGGGACGCGGCAAATGCGCTGTGATTGGATATTTAAAGGTCAAACTTAGAATGTACCAAACCATAGTGATGGAACAGGGTTGGGACGTTGATCGATAAATTTGGGATTTATTGATTATTGATAATGATAAATAAATATATTGATCAATTTTTATTTGATGTTTATTAAAAAATTAAACAATGTATACATATATTTGTACATTTAATTTATAAATATATATATATATATGACTGATTTTTAAAATTTGGATAATCTTAATATAAAATTGTCTCACACAATTCTTAGGATCTGTCTTCCTGGATAAGTAGAGTAATCTTACGAGTATGTCTATGTATTTTTCCATAACACTCTTAGCTAAATCAATGACATGATTACAACTTTCGTAATCGAATTGGTGATTTTTTTATTTCATAAAAAATATCCTCATAAACAAAACTGCTTAATGTTTGTGTTAAAAAACCTGGGCGACCATCTACAGATCTGTACCACTTTCCTAGTGTTTTTACAGAGGGTAAAGAAGTATTAAATGTTTTATAAGCCTTAGCTGAGTAATTTATGGTGAGTGCAAAAGCTCTCAACTGTGGTGAATATTTTTTTCTAACAATTTGCCTGATTTTCTAGATTTTGATTTTTCTAAGCAACTTAATGCGTCATTGTTTTCAGCTGTTAATGAATTTTTGTTTTCTAATTCTACCAATAATGACTTCAAAGAAACTATTTGTCTTTTTAGTCTTCTGTGGGAATCATTTAACTTTTTAACTTTTTTATCTTTTTGGTTCATTACGTTGGTTAATTCGATGATTCTTCTACAAATGATGATGATTTTAACTGGAGTATCAAATGCAGATGGTGTATCAGGTATATGAGAAAATTTTCTTTTTTGTTTTGTAGGCTATTCTAAGGTATGACTCTGATTTTTAGGTGTTGGCTGGTTTTTCGCGTCTTTCAGCGGTGAACCAGTTATCTAAAAGTTATCAGAAATACATATTCGTTTCTTTTAAAACATTACCGATATAGTATTATTAGTTAATACACCATACGGCACGTCTTCCAAATTTAGATGCACTTAGTAATTATAATAAGATAATACTGAAGTTCATGTAACACTAAATACCAAGTCAAAACAATAATCCCATTATAACTTTTACATGTTTTATGATTTATAAATCCGTTAAAAATAGCTTGATTTCGACGTGCAACATTCCCCTAAATATAAGAATATCATGTTTCACTCAACCACTTTATGATATTATTGTGTAATCTACGTTAGTACTAATCTTAAAAAAAAAATGCAAAAGTCCATACCAAAACTGGCAGGTATAGAGATGGTATAGCGGAATCCAACAGCCTTATACGGTTTTTCATAATATCATGAAGATTGTCTTCTGTGAAGTGTTTTGAGCATAGTACACTATTTTTGTTGGGAAACCATTCGTTCCCTCGACAATTTGCGTCGATCCATATCTTTTTTCCTTTCGGGGCATTTAGAAAACCTATAAGATATAGGTACCACAATGATACGTCACTTATTTTTATAAAATAATATGACTTCGAAAAAAATAATTAAACTATGACCAAACAAATATCGTTAATATTAAAAAACTGAAGGTAGCCGGGCTAACTATGACAGCAGGACGTCAAACACCTCAGTCCCCCGTGACCACGGGTGCTGGAAAGCACCCGAAACGTCGGGAATATAAAAATAGATTAATATACGCGATAAAATCCGTAAAATTAGTTTTAATTAAAAATGTGTAGTGTTCGCGTAAATATAAGAAATCATCAAACAAATATCGACTTAAAAATCACAACACTATCGATACACGTGCTGTTGTTAGACAAAGACAATTATTGTAATTTACGTAACGAGTGAAAGGGACATTTCAAAAAGACATCAACGGGTGCTTAATTGTTATCACTTTGCACTATTATTATACCAGTATAAGTTGATCTCCGGTGCATTTGAAATAGGTTAACGTGATAAGAATAGAATTTATTTACCAATTAAAATTTATGCCATCTTTTTGATTACTGGATGTCTTAGCTGACTTGTTACACCATTTTACTGCATAGGAAGCCATTTGTAATGTATTTTGGATACAAAACTATTTTTAAATTGTCAAGAACTCGGACGTGCCTACGGATCACACACTTGGTCGATACTGATGTCGTGATTCTTAGCGTCACTTCGTATGCTAGCTACAGCAAGTATGTATTGCGCGCGTTTGTCGCCCTGTATGCGGAATCTATTAGGGGGTAATCTATGACTTGCACAGACACAATCTAGTAGCCAGATGCTCTTGGTTTCGTGGATCGGACACTGTCTTATTATAAGTGATTGCCGGAAGGCGTGCTCGAATGACCGCGCCAGGCTCTTCATCACCGACAGAACTATTCATGGGAATAAACCTATTATTGTGTTAAGGTTATAAGTATTTGAGCTGTAAACTCCGTTACTGTTACCTAATATCATGTTGTGTGCATTTGTTTTGGAATATCATCCAGATTGTAACTTTGCATTTATAATGTTCAATTATTCATGTTTTGGTGTTATTCTGTTTTTTGGACCTAAATAAATAAATAAATTGTGCTGATGAATCGGGCACAGTCAAGGATATTTTTCTGGTCGACATTACCATTCCGTATGACGAGAACCTCGTGAAAGCCGAAACAGATAAGAAAACAAAATATCTGGACCTGGCTTGCGAAGTGGCTGACTTGTGGGATGGGATGGTCCACCAATCGAAATTATTCCTGGTTTGAAAGGCTGACTGAGATTAGCTCTGAAGGCGACTGGGACTCCGTGACGGACCGCTCCGGGTTCAAATGCAGAAGGCGGTGCTCTTCGATACCGCATGCGTCGTCCGCCTGTTTTGTTTCCCTTTCTTTCTAACCCTCGGCCGTTTTGTCTCCCCTGCCGAGGATGTTTATATTAAAATAATTCCAGGGCGTATATAATTTCCTGTATGCAGATTTATCCAACACCCTAACAAGTTAAACAAGAATAATATTTTTGTTTGTTTTTACCATCGAAGCATAAATATAATAATGAAGCTAAAACTTCACTTGTCATACCAATCCATTAATACCATTGTAACATTTTTTCATTTCTTTCTTCTGCTATCTTCAAAAATGTGATTTGCATGGCATATCTTGATAACTGCCCATATTTACCACACCGGTAGGCAGTTTATAGAGTACAAAGTGGATGCCCTCACACAATACGCCACTCCCAGAGACACGTGATAATCTCTGTGATCTAAGTTTGCTTTTTCCATTAACCCATTGGGGCACTTTCTTTTTGACGAGGTCTATTCACAGGAATGGGATGTATATGGACTGCACTTTTTATTTTTAGACAAAAAATAAAATGTTCAATTTTTTTATTAGGCCAGCAACCGGGAAGTTAAATGGTGATCCAAGGGCAGCACCACTTCCAAGGCAAGGTTTCCCTCCACATCATCACCATGTAAGTTGATAAATTATTATAATAGAAAGAAGAAACATCACGTGGAGTTAAATTGAAAACAGGAATGAAAACAGGACATTTATTTTTAGAACTATTTACTAACGAAAAAAATAATAAAAAAATGATACAAAGCCCTGCTTCTTGATCATCAGCCTGTTACTTTAACTGCAGATCATTAGACTCCCATATTGAACAGACTTTTTTCATTTTAGCCACAGTTGGCAAATTGGCAATTACAGATGTCTCGTATATCTCATGCTGCTAACTTTAGTTGGTCTGGACTGTGTGTGATGCTTATACTGCTACCTACCAGAGGCCAAAACATTTCGTTCTTCGTTAAGATCTCTTTTCCATGTACACACATGCAAAAGAAACATGTACATTTACCCGCCTTTTTTGGAACGAAGTTCTTTATATCGGATAGTATAATATGATACCGAACAGTACGAATTTGCTGGATGGGGTCTAGGCGAGAAAAATTGTAAGATTTTTCCGTCACGAACCCTTCCTACATAGTGTAGACGGCCTTGGTGGCTATGAGGAAGCGAGATGGAATAATATCCATCTCCCTCACACTTTTTCTTATCTTGCCATAAAAGAAATATTATTTTATTTTAAATAACGCTTCATTTTAATAGACGCTAGTAATTCATTTATTTGTATTTCTTAAACAATAATATGATACGTTTATCAATAATAATTACGAAAGGAACTTCGTTCCAACCCAGTGTTCTACGACACATACGCATTTTTTTTTTTCAAAATTAGACGTTTTATAATTTAAGACATCTTGAAATAAAAGTCAAACAACTTTAAGTTGTCCGTAAGTCCTAGGACCCGTATTTTGTTTTATAAATAATGATTTTTCGTGCACTTTTTCTAGTGTATAACGGATCGTTAGGTGAAGGCCAAAACATTTTGTGACTACGAAACTCCCACAAAATGGAGCCAAAAAAACAAAAGAGCCAATTTCGAATAATAAAATTCTGACTTCAGTCTGGTATAATGTGACCAAGTTTTTGACAGAAATGGCAATAACATTTTTTTATTACAATATAGAATATGGAGTGTAAATTTTGCGAATTTAAACCTAGTTATAACGTCACTAATGTCCATAATACTTTGCACGCCTTGGATGCGCCTTCGTTAAAATAGCCTATCGACTGAATCGAAATGCACCTTACGGCCGCGTGTTAGGAGTCTGTATCATTTAGCCCGTTACGCGCCTTTGTTAAGACCGCTCCTACTGTAGGGTTAGGTGTTGTGAGAAAACTAATTTAATCCTTTGATATTAGTTGGTAGTCGAATACACTCGAAGTGTTATGCAATAATTTGCTAATATGTAATAAGAACATTATTGTTCAAACTGAGGTAGATTAAAGGAATTACCTACTATTACTACCTACTTGTACTTTATTACTATTTTGTGCTGTGTGATGCCGCTAGAGTAGATAGCATCACCCTATGCCTGTGATATGATAATAATATCTTACCTTTCGATATTTTTAAGAACAGTAAAGAATTAAAAAGTCGGCATTCCTTTTGTTATTTAACCACCCGTATGCTATACAGTATGTTTTGGGTTTTTGAGTGGCCTTGAATATAAACTCATAAATAAATATTAAAAATGTGTTAAAACTTATTAGAGAAAAATATTTTTTTAATTAGAAAAATATGTTATAAAATCCGTAAAATTGGTTTGATTTAATTATTAACATGTTTAATAAGGTGTATGGAGGGTAATATGTTCAGCTTATGTTTTGCTGCTCTATGAAACCAAAACTAGGGGGAGGACAGAAACAAAAACACTAAGTCGTGTACCATAACTAATATATTAAGAAAAAATAGCAAACAAGTTTTGGCAATAATTAGAAACACTTCGAAACATTAACTTAAAAAAAAAGCAGATACTGAGCATACATTTACTATAATGTCAACTGACAAAATGGCGTCGATAACAACAACACTCTTTTTTCCTTTTTATTAATTTGATTGACTGATAAAGAGCTATTGTATCACAGAGTAATCTATACAAACAAGAGTGTTGTTTAGAGTTATAAGAAAGTGACCATATTAACGGGATGGCCATACGACCCTCGTAACAGCTGATTGTACGAATTATAATTTAGGATTGTTTGGTTTGTTAGCCTTACGTGTTGTGTATGTGTGCGCAGAACCCGGCGGGCGGTGCGGGCGGTGCGGGCGGTGCGGACGCGCGCACGCGCACGCCGGCGGGGGAGCCGCGCGAGCGTCGCGCTGACGAGGTGCAGGTGCGTACTGCTGCATTTTTATTGAGTTAACGTGACAAACGACCACACAGTCCACCGGCTGGTAAGTGGTTGCTGTGGCCCATACACATCTACATCTATTATCATATTGTTATGAGCTTGGGCTTCGAGACAATTAAAAACTGCCGATCGAATTACCAAAATTGACACTTTAATTACACAACGCTATTTACAATCTAAAACCACACTAATAATAAAACACAATCACTTTAGTTCGCAGTTATTTCGCTTCGAAGTATTCTCTTGTATCGCCAATTCAATACTGCCTCGGTCGCGGGCTATACCGGCCTTATATAGAGCCTCAGATAGTTTCTAGAACCTTTTACTATAGCGACATCTAGAATATTCGAGTACATATCGGTCCCGAAGTTTCTGGAAGAATCTTGACTCTCCTAGTTCTGCTACTCGACACTAGAGGGCGCTAGTGTAACTAGTGTTGCCATGTACAAGACATTAAGGGGCTACTCCATGCGAACGACCTTGAGCATTTGACCGGCGCGCCGTTCGTATATTGTAGCGAACGGCTCGCCGGAAGAAATATGTAAGACGCCACCTATTGTACGAAAGTAGTATTATTTTTTCAACATCAATAAACTATTTTATGGAAATACACATAGCGTACAAAGATAAATGTATTTTAATTTTTTTATTCTGTATATGTTAATTGCATTATATTAGAATTATGTATTTTCATATATTATCTAATTATGAAATTTTATAATTAATTATACTGGGTGGCGCCCAGGTTATCACGTTAAATAGCACAACAGTTAATACAAGTTGATATATGACTTAAAATAATAAAATAAACAATAATAAAAACTAATAAAAAATGCATCTTTCAAACAAAATAAATAGGGTAAAAAATCACATAAAATAAATCATCCTTGATAATATTACTTAACTGACCTGAAATGACTTGTAGAAGCGGCAACGTCGCGGCCAGCGGTTCATTGCTCATGCGACATCGATATAGGTAATTATATTATAATAACTAGGTCCTAGGACTTGCCCATACATAGGTAATTAGGCACGCGTAGGGCGATGCTAATCCGATGTTATCAACAAATCACAAATTTCATGGTATTTTTTTATCCAAATAATCACTTTAACCTTGAAATCACTCAAGTTTATGAAACAAATCAAATTTTTAAATTTTCAAAATGTCCGCCGTGTACCCGAATGCATAATTGACATCGTCGCATGATATTATTTCGGACTTTTCGAAAGAGGGCACCATTGGCTGCAAAATTTTTTATTTTGTCGAAAGCCCGCATTATTCTTATTTTTAAGTCCTCGACAGTCGTTACTTCAGTAGAGTACACCTCATTTTTTATGTAACCCCATAAAAAGAAATCTAACGGTGTTAGATCCGGAGACCGTGCTGGCCACCGAGAAGGTCCGTATCTGCCAATCCAGTTCTCTCCGAACATCTCAGTGAGGCGCTGCCTGGCAGCCACCACTGAATGAGCAGGTGCTCCATCAAGCTGGTACCATAACCGGCTATTGGCCCCCAACGATAGTCCATCAACGTAATCCGCCACTGTGTCGTCAAGCAGTTCCAAAAATTTAGGCCCATTAAGGTTGCCTTCGATAAACACGGGACCAATTATTTGATCTCCATGTATTCCAGCCCAAACATTGACGGCAAATCTATATTGGTGCATAGACTCTCGACACAGTTGCGGATTTTCTTGACTCCAGTATCGTAAGTTCTGCCGATTCCATATTCCGTTACGCGTGAATGTGCTCTCGTCAGTCCACATTACGTTTGCTAAAAAGTTAGAGTCATTAGCTACTTTGCTCAGGAGCCATTCACAGTAGGCTTCCCTAACTGGCTTATCTCTATCTAATAAAGCCTGTACCTTTACGTATTTGAACGGCCGTTGCTTGTTTTTTTTTTAATATTCTGTGAACAGACTTGTGGTGTACACAGAATTGGCGAGCTGCTCTACGGAGACTTGATGTTGGATTACGAGCGAAATAATTTAATATTCGTTCTTCCTGAGCCACGGCGACTCGCGGAGGAATTTCAACCTGACGTGGAATCAAATTTTCGCCGTCACGTAATCTTTGGACTGCCCGTATAAAAATCCGTGAGTCTGTAGGACATACACGTGTGGTATTATACCTCTCTCGGTATGTTCGTAATGCCAGGGACGCGTTTTGGTGGCATTCTCCATAAATTAAAACCATATCGGTGTATTCCAATGACGTAAAATTGATACGAGGCATTTTAAAATAAAAAAAGTTATACGTTTAAAAAAATAAAAGCGTCCAATTGCGCACGGGCTGACACACCACTAAGTTATTAAATATCACTTATCTATTATTAACGAGTCCTATCACAAATAAAAAATACAAGACAGTAAAAGAAAGCGTCAAATTTCGCACAAATAGTCACACCACCTCCTCAACACAATTATTATTATAGTATTAACGTGTCCTATCACAAACAAATCAAGAAACTTATGAAAATATCCACAAAAAAAAACTTTAAATTAAAAGGACGTGTACGCGAAAAACTAAAATTAGGTCAAGCGATTAATGAACCGTTCCCAAGGACGCCGGCGTCGGACTAAGTGACTTACTGTCTTACTTTATCGTCGCACGCGCCAATCGACCACATCCCACCCTCCCAACACCCCGTCCCAATTCTTGTCGCATCGCGCATAAGAATTATGCCTTATTTTGTTACATATAAGTACATTTTTTGCTTAATTTATCACTTTATTTGATTATTTAAAATTGGCAACGTTGCACTATAATACAATATAGGTCTCTTGGCCTTCACGGGCCACGGGTCTTTGAACTTCTAGTATTTATCAGGTGATATCTGATGCATTTACATGATGTTGTTTAATATTAAAACAAAAAAAAGGCTACCGCGCCCAGAATGTTAATTGTTATATATTTTTTTAGTTGTGTATGTTTAAAGAACTTTGTATAGAATACGTCTTTTCATTTAACGTGATAACTTCATCGTCACTTTGTATATTAAAACGGAAGCATTGAAAATTGTGAGTTTAAAAGATACCTATTCACTATAGGTAAATAAATAGATAACTCGGCTTTTGTACAAATATTTGGTGCAATAAAAAATATATAAATACAAAAATCAACAAGAAGTATAAGGGTTCAATCTTTCAATTTCAGTTGTAAAAAAACGTTACACCCACACTAGGATTTTCTCCTGTGTCGTGGAGGCAGTTTACAAACATAAATTGCACAAAGACAAACATCCAGACCCGGAACAATTATTTGTAGGCCATACAAATCTTGTTCCATGCGGGATTCGAACCCGCGGCCCCCAGCGTAACAACTCATTGCTAAGCCACTGCGCCGCCATGAAGCTAATGCAAAGACTAACTTTGTATTTGCTTCATGGTCGCCGGGTTATAGCTAAAGTGACCATACGTCCCGTTTTGAACGGGACTGTCCCTTTTCTCGGTCTCCTGTCCCATTGTCCCCAAACAAAGCTCCGGGACACAAAATTGTCCCGTAACTCGTTGGATGGAAGTATTCAAAGTCAACAATCTTCAACATAATTTTTTTTAATCGAATATATTTTATGTCTACCTGGTACGAATGCTCCGGTAGAAAGAGTATTTTTTTATTTTGCATAAATTGTGGACGTCTGAAAGAAACACTTACGGTTCCAGAGTTCTAAAGGCGATGTTGTTAACAAAGATAACAATAAAAAACTTGAGCAGAATTTTATTCTTATTTAAAATCATCGCCAACTTTATTAAAGCAAATTTAATCCACTGACAAATGTAATTAATAATTAAAAAAAAATATGTTGCATTTAATAATTACCGTCTATACCGAATATAATTTTATAGTGAACAATAATTGTATAAAGTTATAGTTTTTAGAGTATAAATAAACCCATGTCCTGTTATGAGTTAAAAAATAAATGGTCAGTTTAGTCTTTTTAGTTAAATTTAGTTTTAAATTTTTTTAGTTTATAGTAAAAAGTAGGTATATTAGTACTTTTTACCGAGTTATAAGTATAGAACACCTTATGTACTCAATTATTTTTTGAAAAAGAAGAAAAAACAAGCAATAAATAATATACTATATTTTAACAAAAGACTATAACTTAGTAATACTAATTATAACTTAGAACATAAATCAAAAACTCATAACTGACTTTTTGGCCCGACCCAGGATTCGAACCTGGGACCTCATGATCAGCAGTCGCACTACTACAACCACTAGACCAACGAGGCAGCACTATACCTGATAAGATATTGTGGTTGGGTGATAATATTGAATTAGCCTTTTATAGTGTAAATTATAATATTTGTCGAAATTTTAATTATGGATTCGAACCTTATATGCTAATGGTGCTTCATTTTTTTATTTGCATTTACTTCAAAGAAAATACACGCAAAAATCTTCATCGCGCAGTAAAAAACACAACAAATATATGTATAACTAATACGAAAAATTATACCCAAAACAAACAAATAATACTACCTATAAATAACCTAATAAGTAATAATATTATCGACTCATATGACGTGGCGTATGCGTTGGTCGACGCTCTAACGACACGGGCTTCACGTCGAAGAGCTCAGCGCTCACTGACTTCAACAAGCCCGTGAGCAGTAAATATGCCCAGATTTTAAAATAATTTCTTAATAAAATCAAATTTTGGTCTTTTGAAAAAAAATTTACTATAGAAATGTTCATTAATAAATTGCCTATCCATTGGTGTAAATCGCAAAATAAAATAATACTTACTTTACGAGGAGATGCATGTTATCAATAATAATTTCACATTTATGTGGTTTCGTTGTAAGGAGATTATATTAATATATATTCCTTTAAAAAAAAATTGGATATAGCTTTTATGGAATCAAGATTATGTAGAAATATAATGTGTTTTTTATTTGTTGATATATCTTTTAAATAAAAAGTAGATAGCTCCTAAAAAGCGCCCAAATAACGACTAGCGCGACATTTTGCTCAACCTGCGCCTTAATAGTGGCGCGCAACAATATTGAGAATGAAAATGGAATGCCTCATTTGAAGTAAAAAGGGTCTCCGGTTCTCTACACTACTCTTGCTACTCCACTGCGTGTTTATGAGCTTAACATGTCTTCGAAATATTTTTAATCCTCATTCATGCAAGTTTTCTTACGTTTGTTTTGTGTTTATTCATACCATAGCAACAACGGTGATACTGTCTAACAAATAACTTCACCTTAGTCCCAACAAATAACACACTTCGCATATTCTTCTTTTGTTACAAGAAACACATAAAAATTAGAACTATAAGTCCCAAGTCAATATTGGACTATTGTGAAGCACATGGTGATGAAATATTTGTAATTGACAGGAATTACGCAAGTTCGGTCAAGAATTCAAACTGGTGTCGTCGGGCGCGCCCCTACAGCCCATGCAGCAGCTCCAGCCTCAGCAGCAGCAACAGCACCAGCAGCAAGCGCAGCAGCAGCCACAGCAGCAGCAACAGCAACACCAACAATCACAGCAGCAGCATCAACAACAACAGCCGCCCTCAAATCCACAACCACTGGTACTCAACAAAATAAACCTCTATGTGTCAAACATAAACCTGTTATTATTTTTAATTTCATTCATTCAAAAGTTCCAATCTTTCAAATTATACGAGTATTATTCACATTCACATATATAAATAAAAACGTAAATTATTAGTTGTTCAAATCTTAAATCTAAAGTTCTTCACAGTTTGCTTTGACATTTTTGCATTCGAATACGAGCGTTTAAACTTATTAAAAAACATCGCCATTTGTTGGACCTAAAGAAATATTTCTCTTTTTTTTTCATTCGACCTGACTGAGCCACTACAATGCGTGGCCGGGTACAGCTAGTTTTTAATAAAAGTACAGACATTCCTGTAATATTAGTTGCAATTTTTCATTATGATAATACATATTGTATTATATCAATGGAATTCATAAACAATACTACATCAATAAAATCTATATTAACTAATAAAATCTATTCTATTTCGTATATTTGCGTTTATGTCGAAAAATAGACAAAGAACATTTTTATTTTGACAATTGAGTAAATATAACAATGCGAGAAAGTACTTCTTTTTTTCTTGGAAATTTGCCATAATCACAAATCACCATAGGCACAGTTTGTTGTTCCTTACTTTTGACTAACTTATTGAAGAATAATAGTCTGCTATAAAAGTATCAATGTTTAACAATGAAACTTAATTCTTAAAATAACAAGTCTTGTAGATGTTAATACAAAATCATCTACATCTATCTTTAAGAATGAAAATGCAGATGTGTTGTCACCCCTGAGGACTAAAATGGAATGCCTCGTGTCCAGTAAAAAGGTTCTCCAGTTCCCTACACTCACCATACCAAACACTCACAATGTGTGAGCGTGGTCTTTACCCAGTCAAGCCGATCCATTCTTGCTACAACCATAATATAGCTGCAGCAGGGTTTTACCACGTTATATCATGTTACGATAAATCATCTATCCTGAGGAAAAGGTCCATGCCCAGTTGTGAACCGTTATGGAGTCCTTTAAAGGGAAGATGGCTGTACCACATAATATATTTTTTTTATATTAAATTAAAGTTCTTTATAAGAATGAATTGTTTTCAGTTGCCACCACCAGCGCCCAGCCCTCCAGAAGTATCAGCCAATGCTGGAGCACCTTCCGATCCTTTGCCAAAGAGGGAGAGGCCTCCAAAACAACACACACCGCCGGCAGCACACAAGGTAACGTTATCCTTATTCTTCTACAATAACATTTAGTATTTCTTGCTGACCATATGAGGAAGCTCAAGGTCGCTCAGCGAACTATGGAAACTTAGAAATATGAATGTCCGCAGTAGAACCAGACTACTCGACATAGCCCAACGGATTAGTAAGCTGAAATGGCAAAGGGTTGGCCATTTATCTCGAAGAATCGACAACCGATGGGGAAGAAAGGTTCTCAAGTGGCAGGCTCGTACTGGTAAACGAAGTGTAGGGCGACCCCCCACTAGATGGAATGACGAATTGTTAAGACGTGCGGGAAGTCGATGGATGCAGGTGCCTCAGGACCGTGCTTTGTGGCATTGCTTGGGGGAGGCCTATGTTCAGTTGTGGACCTGTGAAGGGCTGTAATGATGGATCATGATGACGATTAATATTTCTTTTTTTTTTATAGAGAAAAAAAGAGTAATTCCTCTTCCCTCTCTTTCCTCTTTTTTAAAATTGAAAAGTAATATTGTTACAGCTTACATATGTCGTGTATAGCGGCGTGAGAGATTTCACTACCGGAGGTACAGGATCTCCTGTACCTCCGGTAGTGAAATCTCTCGGGTAGCAGAGCCTTACTGATAATAACTCAATACTGGGGTTGTTAACCCGCCTGCTAAACCGTGACAACTATAGTATGTGATGGGTTGCAACGAAATATTAATTAATGAATTCTTTAACAATGAAACAGGGATATTGTTGAGCAAAGTGTTACATCCTGTGGTCTGTCATTGGTCATCAAGGTTAAAAAAATGCTTTTTCCGAGGCTGATATATGATCAACCAAATTACATGGTTAGTCATATATCACATCACCGGAAGAGGCGTCGGTCGCCATAAAAGTGATGGTTATGTAACAGTTAACAGTAACTCTCGGTCGAAGTTGGACTTACCTTGTCGGACTATTTGTCCCAAGTAAACATACTCGTCAACAACTTCGAACTTAGTGCTCCCAACAACCACCGACATAGGTGTGACATGGACGTTAAAAATTTTTTAATTTTTGTTTTTTCCATGTTCATCTTAAGACCTATCCGTTGGGAGACACTATTGAGGTCATTGAGCATAGTGCTTAGGTCCTCCAGCGATTCTGCTATAAGGACTATATCGTCGGCAAATCGAAGATGAGTGATGTACTCGCCATTGATGTTAATACCGCATCCATCCCAGTCGAGTAGCTTGAAAACGTCTTCCAATGCAGCGATGAAGAGTTTCGGGGATATAACGTCACCTTGTCTTACACCTCTCTGCAGTTGGATAGGTTTCGTACTCTGATTCTGTACTCTGATAGCCATCGTAGCTCTACTGTACAAACACTTCAGCACTTCGATATATCGACAGTCAACTTGGCACCGCTGAAGGGACTGTACCACCGCCTAAATTTAGACGGAATCAAAGGCTTTCTCATAGTCAACATACGCAAGGCAAAGTGGCAGATTATTCTCCTTTGTCTTCTGTACAATTTTCCGAAGGGTTTGTATGTGGTCTATGGTACTAAAGCCTTTTCGGAATCCGGCTTGTTCGGGAGGCTGGAAGTCGTCAAGTCTGCGCGCGAGACGATTCGTAATGACTCTCGAAAACAGCACGTAGACGCGGCTCAGAAGGGAAATCGGTCTGTAGTTCTTCAAAAGAGCGTTGTCACCTTTCTTGAAGAACAAGACCACCGTACTTCTGCTCCACGCCTCCGGTGTAATGCCACCATGGAGGACAGAATTAAAGAGCTTCTGAAGGACTTCAAGTACCGGTTTTCCACCCGCTTTCAAAAGCTCCGCTGTAATTCCTTCCTTACCTGGGGCTCTGCCATTTTTAAGGTGCTGGAGAGCCATTCTAGTCTCGCTCAGACTGACGTCCGGGATATCTTCGGAATAGTGTCGGATAAGACTCGCTCTTGGATCGTTACTCACACTTGCGTGTGGCTCCAACGATGACGTGTACAGCTGCCCATAGAAGCTCTCAATCTCACTCAAAATATCAGGTGTCCCGGAAACGATGTTGCCACACTCGGTTTTCAGCTTTGACAGTTCTTTCTCTGGCAGAAAGAACTCTGGCAAAGACTTTGGAGCCTTGGTTCCGCTCGTTTGCTTGTTCAATACAAGCTGTATTGAAGTTGCGTAAGTCCCGTCGCATGCATTTGGAGATCTGTCTGTTCAGTTGCCTGTATGCTGTCAAATCTGTTGAAGAATGTAGCTTCATCTCCCGTCTAACAGCCATGAGATTAAGTGTGATCGGAGAGTTTTTGTTTCTTCTGCGGCGGGTCTTGCAGAACTTAGCTCCAACCGTATGGGGACAATTTCCATGAGCTTGTCATACATATATATATATATATACACATATGAATTTTATTTAATAAAATTAAATTTTATTAAATAAAATTTATTTATAGAATATTGATAAATTTGGCTCACAACTTGTTGTTTTAAGTTTCAAACACCACTCTGAATTTTCATTTGTTAGAAGGCTTGTTACTTTACTTATAATTATATTCATGCAAGAGAACGCTTGCTCGCACGAATATCGTCGATCCGAAGATAGTCAGCACTCAAAATGCCAACTTCTTCACCTCACTGTTGCGAATCCGGAAGATTATTCCATGCGTTGAATATAAGTTCCTCAACACGAGCCATTTCTTTTAAAGCTGTTGTATTTCTGTTGCGTTACGTACATTCATTTCTGGACTTCCCACCCTTTCAAATTGATTTTCAACTCTGTAGATTTTTAATTCCACAAAGCTTTACTTTTTAAATCGATCAATTGCATTTCTAGAGATCCAGTATCAACTCCAAATGGCTCAATGTGGATCGATTTTTAAATATTTTTTTTTTATAAAATGAATAATATTTGCGTAGTTAAGAGCCGCAGCTTCACATCCAAAGAGCCGCATGTGGCTCGTGAGCCGCAGGTTGCCGACCCCTGCTCTAGGCTATGCGAGTGTTGGGCCCTCTTCGTATTTCCAACTTATCACGTATAAATACTTTTTTGTTAAAGCGCGGGGCCCACAGACAGTTGCCTATTTTGCCTTTGGGGTAATTCGGGCTTGAGTATGGGTAGGTTATGAGAGTGTATGTCATGCCGCGTGTGACACTACTATATGTCCTGCATATATATGCATGTTAATAAATACCTTCTGGCGGTTTTCGGAAAGGATATATTACTATCTTACTTTCTGCATGTAACAATGTTTATTATTGCTCATCAGCCCCCACCGGCACCAAAGAACGAGGAGCCACCATCAGAGGAGCGGTCACCATCATCTGCATCTCCACCGTCGTCCGTGTCCCCTGGGATGGAGCGCGCGACAGCCACACTCAAGAAGTCCACGCTCAATCCCAACGCGAAGGAGTTCAATCCCAGCGCGAAGCCCTTCACCCCCAGAAGTCCCAGCACACCAAACCCAAGCCGGTAAGATTATTGCCATTACTGCCCACTATAAGCCCACTACAACTATGTCAGCTCGAGATGGGTGGCTCTATAGTATGAAATTGTTTATTGAAATATGCGGTGTTTATATATGGATGTGGTGGCGCTATCGTAAAAAACGTGGTATATAAATTTTTTTTGTAATACAATAAGTCTCAGATAAAAAAAGAAAATGGTTTTGTCTTTGTTTCAGGGTCACTTACCCTGTTTTACGTTTGCCATAAGATATCGTTAAATATTTTAAAACTATTGATGTTAAGCAAACGGCAGATTTATCCCCATAAATGTTCCCCCCAATCCCCATGTTAAAGTTATTGCATCTATAATAAATACAATGGCACCTTATCTAGCCACAATTTTTAATACAAGCATTGAGTCTGGTGTGTTTTCTGGTCTAATGAAACATAGTAAAGTCCATACCTTTATTTAAATCTGGCAGTACATTAGACCCCGCCAATTTTAGACCAATTTCTGTACTACCAACAAGTAAAAGTTTTGAAAAAAAATATTTTAGATCAGTTGTTAATTTTTTTAATATAAATAAATTGCTTCATAAAAATCAATTTTTGGTTTTAAAAGGGGTCGATCGACTACTGACGCCGGAGTCGAACTTATAAAACATATTTTTGGGTGTATTTTGTGACCTTTCCAAGGCCTTCGACTGTGTTCACCATGAGACATTAATCAGGAAGCTACAGTACTATTGTGTCAAGCACACAGTGTTTTAACTTATTATTTCATATTTAAGTAATTCACTCAGAATGCAGAAAGTTATTATTAATGGTAAAAGTTCTTCCAGGTTGTCCGTAAAAATGGGTGTCCCTCAGGGCTCGCTTCTTGGCCCATTACCATTTTTAGTGTATATTAATGATTTACCTTCTCTTGTAGGGGATAAGCATGATATGGTCATATTATGTATGCAAATATGGTCATATACATATCATATTTGCTGATAATACATCCTTGATTTTTAAACTTAAACGTCAATCATTTAAATGTGACGAAGTGAATAATGCTATATCAAAATTAATGCATTGGTTTAAGGTTAATAATCTATATTTAAACGGCAACAAAACTAAATATTAAATTAAATTTACAACAACGAATGTTAAAAATCTGAATGCCAATGTGTTTTTAAATGGGGAAGAACTGAGCCCTGTTGAATCCTCTGTTTTTCTTGGCATCACACTCACGCAAAGCTTCATTGAGGCCCCCATATATCCAAACTATCAAGCAGACTAAGCTCTGCAGCTTATGCTGTAAAGAAGATTAAAGATCTCACTAGTGTCGAGACAGCTAGATTAGTTTATTTCAGTTATTTCCATAGCGTAATGTCTTATAGGATTTTGCTATGTGGAAATGCGGCTGATTCAGAAACGTTTTGCAGAAGAGGGCCATAAGAGCTATTTACAACTTTAAACCGATAGTGTCAGAGAGAAAAATGTAAAGAAATAAATATATTAACTTTGGCCTCAAAAACAAAGTTAATTTTAGTAAAAAAAAAGTGATATACACTCTGTAAACACTAGAACAGAACAACAGAAGCTAGTGATACTAGTTTCTCAACTCCACAGAGTCAGTAATTCATTCTTGGGGCAATGTATATACGCTATTACAACAAAATTCCAGAAAATATACAAGGTCTTTCTATTACCAAGTTTAAATATTTAATTAAACAAAAACTGTTTAAAAAAGGTTATTACAATATAAATGAATACATGGTTAATAATAACTCCTGGGAATGAGATGGTCGCTCTCAAGCTGTTTCTAAAATAAATTTTCTAAATATAAGAATTCCTTGTAATCAATATTGAATAAAAATGATTCTATTCTATTCTACTCTAGTCAGGGTCCTCTATCCTTTCTTTATTGGTCTGAGCTCCGAGTTTAATTAATCGAGTTAGCAAATTTTTATTTACCGATAAAGTATACTTAAACAGTAATCCCACATAATTTCCCTCTATCAGATGACAACTGAAGTCATTTTATAATACTGCATAATTAATCTGAATATTATATGTATATAAAAATAGCGATCCGCCTTGGCTTCACGGTGATTTCTGGATTTTGATGACAACTCACACTACCGGGTTGAAATGTGAATCTAAACCATCCATCTAGGGCCCCATTCAAACATAGGAAATTTCACCAAAATCGGTACAGCTGTTTTTGAGAGGCTAACGAACAGTAATTGATTTTTAAATACATAGATATTATATTTAAGTGTTAATTTAGTTAGCTCTTATAAATAAGATGAAGAGACCAATACAAATGAGTGTTTTTGTGTGTGTAGGCCGCACACGCCGGGTACTCCTGTGGGCGTGGGCGTGGGCGTGAGCATGGGGCTGAGCGGCGTGGGCGTGATGGGCGCCGGCGTCAGCTACGTGCCCGCGCCGCACCCGCCGCCCCCGCACATGGTAGGTGCACACCCCACCCCCACTGCGTCACACAACCCCCACTTCACTCACCTCACACTCCATATCACTGAACGACATAAACGTGATGGGCGCCGGCGTCAGCTACGTGCCCGCGCCGCACCCGCCGCCCCCGCACATGGTAGGTGCACACCCCACCCCCACTGCGTCACACAACCCCCACTTCACTCACCTCACACTCCATATCACTGAACGACATAAACGTGATGGGCGCCGGCGTCAGCTACGTGCCCGCGCCGCACCCGCCGCCCCCGCACATGGTAGGTGCACACCCCACCCCCATTGCGTCACACAACCCCCACTTCACTCACCTCACACTCCATATCACTGAACGACATAAACGTGATGGGCGCCGGCGTCAGCTACGTGCCCGCGCCGCACCCGCCGCCCCCGCACATGGTAGGTGCACACCCCACCCCCACTGCGTCACACAACCCCCACTTCACTCACCTCACACTCCATATCACTGAACGACATAAACGTGATGGGCGCCGGCGTCAGCTACGTGCCCGCGCCGCACCCGCCGCCCCCGCACATGGTAGGTGCACACCCCACCCCCACTGCGTCACACAACCCCCACTTCACTCACCTCACACTCCATATCACTGAACGACATAAACGTGATGGGCGCCGGCGTCAGCTACGTGCCCGCGCCGCACCCGCCGCCCCCGCACATGGTAGGTGCACACCCCACCCCCACTGCGTCACACAACCCCCACTTCACTCACCTCACACTCCATATCACTGAACGACATAAACGTGATGGGCGCCGGCGTCAGCTACGTGCCCGCGCCGCACCCGTCCGTTGATAGAGAAAATGTCAAAAGGCATTAGACTGCACTTTGTTATCCTTTCCATTATATTGTTTTATAAATAAGAATAAATAAGTGAGGTGATTAATAATCATAATGAAAATCATTTAACTTTCAATAAGTAATAAGGGGTAAGGAATACGCTCTCTCAGAATACCAGCATGAAATAGTAGATTAAATGCTGCTTTGTTTCGTATGGTGAGTGTAGAAAACTACGAGACCCTTTTTACTGGAAACGAAGCATTTCATTTTAGTTCTCAGGCGTGACAACGCATCTGCATTTCGATTCTCAATCGAGGATAGATGCTATCTATGGGTCTCAGGATCCACTTACCATCAGGTGGATCGTGTGCTCATGTTTCTTATTTAAAAAAAAAACTATGTGTGTTAAGTACATTTATGTACGTACGTAAGTAGTTATACTTCTTTAGCGTAAAAAAACGTAAAGTATATTATAAGTTGAAACATGTTGTAATGTATATTGAATAAAAATGATTGTATTGTATTGAGTGGCAAAGTGAATAGTGAGTGAGTAAGGGTGTTGCGGCGTGCGCTTGCAGGTGGCGGCCGTGCCGTACGCGATGGTGGCGGCGCAGCAGCCGCCCGCCTACCTGCCGCACCCGCACCCCGTGAGTACCAACCTCGCCTCATCGCTCTCACATCTTCAACAACTCTTAACCACATCGCTCACAAAACCAATTTACATCACATCTCTCTAAAATTAAATTTTGACACATCCCTCTTAAAATAACGTAAGTGGCCTGATGCGGATACACATTACTGCATATTTTGTTGACAAAAAACATACTAGAAAAATTAAATACTATCAACTTTTGACATGTCAAAACTTTGCTTTACTGACTATATTCAGAACCTGTACACGAATATAAAATACAAATTCACTTAGTTTGCCATTTATCCTATTAATTTATTCACATAAAATACTGTTGGGCTGTTATTAATTAAAACTTATTGAGGTTCTGATTGTTTTCAATATATGGATATGCGAGGTACATAAAATTTTCAAAAAACTTGTGGAATAAAATTGAACCCATTACAACAACTTCCACCTTAGAATTTAACAAATTTTAATCACATTTTCCTTTAAAACATAATCTAAGTAGAGCAACCATAATTTTCTTTACCAAGAAAACCTATTTGATAAAATGTTCTTTGACAGTGTGCTACATGTAGTATTAGCTCAGAAGTTAAGCCATCACTGTAAAGTTCACACAACGCGAGCAATCTGGGTTCGATCCCCGCTGGCACCAATGAAATTGTTTATTTGCAATTTTAAGTGCCGATTTACCACGTGCTCAGCGGTGAAAAAACATTGTAAGGCATTACTCGTAATATTTGGTGACATAACAGTATAATTCGGATAACTAAAATTTACTTATGGGTCACGGCACAGATGGAGATGGCTTGCGAGTGTCGACAATTCGCGCCACCCATACTCGTGATGCCCGACAAGCGGGAGCGCCACGAAGCGGTGAGACATTACCCGGTGGATCCACTGACCGATTCTAGAAGATTCTGTAGCTTACTGACGTGAAATACCTTCGCACACTAAAAAAACGTGTCAGTCGTAGGACTGCACGTCAGAAGTGAAAACTTCTTAGCATCACAAACTTGTAAACATTCTTTTTGAGTTGTTAAGAAATAGTTTTCTATTAGAAATTATTTTTATCAACGTAAAAAAAATAATTATCTATAACTATAATACAAACAAATTCATAAATAAATATCAATTTTAAAAAATTTTATCACTCGGGTTTTCAACTACTTTCTTTGGGTTTACATAGGCTGCACTAAAAGTATCGGGAATGGAATATTTCCACTGTTCCTGTCATATTAAAATCTTTTTAATTGAAAAGTCCTTGGTTTTAAAAATCGAATACCATTTATTTATTTAAAAAAAGATTCTCGGTCTTGTCACAAGGTTTTGTCAAACTTGTTTAGTCGTTGAGAAAATGGAATTGACTCGAGAAAATTCAAGAGCGATGATTTATTATGACTTTCGAAGTGGTTTAACACAAAAACAGTGTGTTAACCGGATGATTTCTGCATTTGGTGATGAAGCCCCATCTAAAACCACAATTTATCGCTGGTTTGCTGAATTTCAACGTGGACGTGTCAAGCTCAGTGATGATCCCCGTCAAGGTCGTCCAAAAACTGCAGTCACCCAAGAAAACGTTGATGCTGTGCGTAATCTGATTGAGGAAGATCGACATTTGACATACCGCGAAATTCAGGCAACTTTAGACTTTGGTATGAGTCAAATACAAATAATCTTGCATGAACAATTAGGTGTAAAAAAGGTGTTTTCCCGATGGATACCGCATTCGCTCTGTGAAGAGCAAAAAGCGGCTCGCGTTACTTGGTGCGTCAGAACTCTCGAAAGATTCCACGCAGGATCCTCAAATGCTGTATACAACATCGTATCAGGTGACAAATCCTGGATATACGTGTACGACGAACCCGAAACAAAAAACCAGTCACGAGTTTGGGTGTTCGAAAATGAGTTAAAGCCAACAAAAATTGTTCGTCACGGAGTGTTGCAAAAAAAATGGTGGCCACGTTTGTCTCCAAAACCGGCCATGTTACGACTATTCCTCTTGAGGGACAAAGAACGGTTAATGCAGAATGGTATGCTAGCATTTGTTTGCCACAGGTCGTTTCTGAATTCCGTAAAGAGAACTGCAACCGCCGCATCATCCTCCATCACGACAATGCGAGTTCTCACACCGCACACAGAACAAAAGAGTTTTTAGAGCAAGAAAACATAGAATTATTAGACCATCCGCCGTACAAGCCCCGACCTAAGCCCTAATGATTTCTATACTTTCCCTAAAATAAAGAATAAATTGCGTCGACAGAGATTTTCATCACCTGAAGAAGCTGTGGACGCCTACAAAACGACCATTTTGGAGACCCCAACTTCCGAATGGAATGGTTGCTTCAATGATTGGTTCCATCGTATGGAAAAATGTGTCAAATTTCACGGAGAATACTTCGAAAAGCAATAAATACATTTTTAAATAGTAATCTTGTGTCACTTCCTTGATTCCCGAAATTTTCAGTGCCGCCCTCGTACAATTACTTTCATCAATTGTATGGAAAAGCGGCAAAAGCACTAAACTCTACCTGTGACAATCACGCGAGTTCTGTGTTTTGTCCACCATCCCAAAAGTGATCCACATGCCTGTAGAAGTTTTCACTTCAATAAAAAAAATGCTTTTGCACCACGAATAAGCAGTAATGCCAATGGGGAGGGGGGAGGGGGGGGGGGGTGTCTGATACTTGTGTTCGTAGGCTACAAAGTCATATGTTTCGTGTTCACTATGTACAGTGCTAGAATCCGAAAGTGGCACTGTAATCGAAATGTGTCAATTAATTATATATTTTCTGGCAAAATTACTTTTATTCTCAATAAAACAACAAACCAACATAGGTTTTGTGCCAAAGAAGAACATAATAAAATCTAACCCGATATGTGGCGCTGTGTCGCATTATGAATAAATTCTATATTTACAAAGTAAAAGTCTAGATTGAATTTAGAGTGAAACTCCAAGGGCAGAACAACGTCAGCAGAGCCATCTAATATAATATAAATTAGATTGTATGTGTTCGTCGTGAATCGGTCAGTGATCCAACACCCTCATTGTGTTTGTTGAGAGTTTTATTTCCCTTTAATGCTTGCCCTGTTTGCGTGAACAGTGATAACCGCTTGGACTCACTGTGGTTTTAATTGTAACAGATTATTTAATTTGTTTTATTAACCAGACATTGTGATGATGAGTTTGAGATTTTAACATGCTAATGTAAAAACAACCGATACATATTTAGAAATATAACACTTTAAAATGACAATTCAGTAATATGAAAACACGTGAAAACGTAATTTATCATGTAAGGCTAAAACATTGAAACAGTAATTTTTGTGAAATCATCACATAATTATATCCCTCATAATAGAATTTTCTATTTACCCACTACACCCATTCTATGTTCCGAGAGAGACGTATATTCAGCTAGGCTGTAAAAAATAAATTAAATTCACATGTGTGTTTCTATTTTTCGTTGATTGCATCTTTCTCTAGTAGTCATAAGCGCGTCTGCTGATCATGATGTTCCGTGTTCAAATCTCGATTCGGGCCAAAATCAGTTATTGGATTTTTCTGTCAAGAATTTCTCAAAAAGAGCCGGGAGTCAGAAGGCTAGCGGTCATAGATTACTGTATATATACTAGAGATAGATACGCGATTCAAATTTAATTTTCGTTAGTGTCGTGCTTTGCCGAACAGATGGCGCTTAATTCTTACAAAAGAAGGAACTTGAAAAATAAAAGGAAAAAATAAACACTTCTGCTGGACTCGAACCGGTGTCTTTCGGTTTCGGGACCGCCCGGTTACCCACCTTAGCTATTATAACCTTGTACGTAATGGCGAAACTTCGTATTCTAATGATATTTTAACAGTTTTTCATTGCCTGAAAACACAGTTAAAACGGCATTTTCTAAAAATAAATAATGTTCAATAAATATTAATAACAATATAAGCGTAACTACCAGTGACCGCTACCAACTGCGTAGTGCGCATGGATCATTGCGAATGCATAGAGCATAGACTTAATATATAAGTGTGCCCTCTAGTGAGATTAAAATAAGTCTAGCCTAGCACTTCGGAATGTAGATGGAAGCACATAAAAGGTATCATTTTGTTCGTAAAATAATGTTCTAAGTTGCATGCCCATGCTGACAGTGTTTCAACTTTGTTCTGCGCCTGATCTCTCTACGGTCGTGTCGGATTACCGTCCCATTGGACTATAAGAGCGAGGGAATAGAGAGTGAATGCAGGAAATAGAGTGAATGGGGCTCTACACTCTATTGTGAAAAGTCAGAATGTGTCCAAAAAGGCACGTATGGCAATTCACAATGCTGTGTTAGTACCTACTTTAATGTATGGTAGTGAAAGTTGGGTGTGGCAGAAGAAGCATGAGAGTAGAATAAATGCTGTAGAAATGCGGTCATTAAGGAGTATGTTAGGGATGAAGCTGAATGACAGAGTGAGAAATTGTTTAATAAGAGAATCGTGTGGTTTGCAAGATGATGTTGTGACCAGGATTAAAAAAGGAATGCTTCGGTGGTTTGGCCATGTAGAAAGAATGAATGAGGAAAGAGTGACAAAGCAAATTTATGTTGCAGAGGTGAACGGCATAGTCGGGAAGGGTCGCCCTAGGCGAAAGTTTATCGACCAAATTGGCGATATATTAAAAATGGGCCAAATCAAGAGTACCTTTAACCGACGAGCGTGTATGCGTAGGTATATGGATGTGGAGGAAGCGAGAGAGGTGTGTCAGGATCGTGCCAAATGGAAGTCCATAATCTCTGCCTACCCCTCTGGGTGACAGGCGTGAGTGTTTATGTATGTATGTTTATGGAATAGAGAGTGCACCTGTGTTTGCACACATACGCACTCGTGCACCATAGATAGTTCTATCTTGCGCAGATGGTTAGTTTACGTTGACACGCCGTGACCGAAATTCGGTTTGTAGGACATTAATATTTATTGTATCATTCCTTAAAATTATTTTTTTATGCGGATTCGTGTCTTACTTTGTTATATATAATAAAATAATGGTTATGAATATATATAACATTACGTTTACATTTTATGCGACAATATCCTATAAGTGCTCGAACCACGAACTTCAAAATCGCGAGTGTGAAATCGACTACTGTACAAGCACAAGCATTTCAAGCTCACCTTAGAGTGGTTAATGGAATTGTTAGAAAAAAAAAAAATTTATTGATTAAAATTTAATGCTATTTTGCCCTTTTATAAAGAAATGTATCAAAAATATTGCACCTGTGTGTTTTGGAAATTTATATTGTTTTACTAATAGTGTTGTGCAGTGTTTTATTGCTAATTTTTTTTTGATTGGTTTGAGTGCACTCATTAAGGTGGCACAAGTCGCGGGCTCGAACTCGCTGGTGGGCGCGGCCAAAAAGCACGCTGTCTCACCTGGCATCGTGCCCGACAGAGATAGTATCAGTGATGAGCATATCGACACTAGTATTCACGCACGTCTTGTTCGTACGGCATTCAGAACCGTTTGAACAAAAACGAAGTTACACGAACACGATGCAACATTTATACTAATATAATAAAGCAGAAAATATAGATCTTTACTCCGTCTAAAAAAAAGTCCGCGATACCATATGTCTATTTTTTATATACTCGTATAAGCCACAATTAGGCATTTTTATTTTGACAAAAAAAAATGAAAATTTAATTATTAGGCATGGCATATTTATCCTTACGAACGAAAGTTACTTCATTATCAAGACAATTTTTTGAAGATAAACTTCGTTGTTTATGCCATGTTTATATAGTACATAGTTGAGATAATGTAAAATTAAAATAATTCAATACTTGGCCTTGACGCGCAAACAACGCATAACCCCTAGCCCGGTGCGAACTGAGAAGCCAGTATTGAAAGCTTCTATGAGCGAGGTTAGGTTAGCCGTTAGTTCAATCATTATCTATATCTACACAAATAAATAAAATTGAAGTGTCTGTTATAATGTCAAAATAACAGCTTTTTACTAATTGCATATGAAATTATATACGCTACTTATAACACAATTTTTAACATTTTTCTGTCTGTCTGTCTGTTTGTTCCGGTTAATTTCCAAAACGGCTGGACCGATTTTGACGGGACTTTCACTAGTAGATAGCTCATGTTATAAGTAGTAACTTAGAATGCTTAAATTTTAGAAAAATTATTAGGCGTCCGTGCAACAAAATTAACACCCTAAACTAAATGCGGACGAAGTCGCGGGGAACAGCTGGTAGCTAAAATAAATTCAAAATTAATTGAGTGCTTTTATCTATCTCCCAGGTGAGCGTAACAATGATTAGTTAATTCTGAACTCTTTCATTTCACGTTGCTATGGTATTTTGAAAGTTTAATTGATTAATAAGTTTTTATTTTATTTATTTCTTTAAAAAAAAGACGTTACCCCCACACTAGGATTTTCTCGTGTATCGTGGAGGCAGTTTACAAACACAAATTGCACAAGGACAAACATCCAGACCCGGAACAATTATTTGTAGGCCATACAAATACAAATACTTGATCCGTGCGGGATTCGAACCCGCGGCCCCCTGCTCAGCAACTCATTGCTAAGACACTGCGCCACGGAGCCGTATAAGAGTATAAGAGGTTGATAGCAAATGTATCAAGAATCATTTCTTGCCTACACACTTTTCATGTATCGTGTACGTTTTTCTTTAAAACTGAATAAAACCGCGCATAGTATGCCGACAGATAAAATAAAAGTACTTCATTAATTATGACAATTTTTCCATACATTATTATCAAATAAAATATTTGATTGCAATTATAAAACTAGGTGTCATGTCATGCCATGCATCTCGGACACATGATGACGCGGGTGAAACCGCGAAATGATTAGGCGCTGCTTTATCGCTTCATATTATACCTCTGTGGCTCTATATACCTAATATAGATTGCTTATTTTATTATGTTTAGTTTTTCCGAGTGGTTATGCAGCGATCACTCAAGAGTTCGGCTTCGAACGTGTGTAACTGCAAAAATTATCCCACGGGAACGAAATATTTTATATTACTGGGAGCCGCGGGTTCGAATCCCGCACGGAACAAGTATTTGTATGGCCTACAAATAATTCTTCCGGGTCTGGATGTTTGTCCTTGTGCAATTTATGTTTGTAAACTGCCTCCACGATACAGGAGAAACTCCTAGTGTGGGTGTAACGTTTTTTAAATAAGAAAAAAAAAATTTGTATGGCCTACAAATAGTTGTTCCGGGTCTGGATGTTTGTAAACTGCTTCCACTATACAGGAGAAAATGCTAGTGCGGGGGTAATGTATTTTTAAAAAATAAAATAAAATAAAATTCCAGACTATAACCTATCTCTGAGCAAAATATCATCCAGGTCCCTTCAGCGGTTCTGGCGTGATTGAATAACATACATCCTTTCATTCGTCCATCCAAATATCCAAACTTTCGCATTTATAATATTTAGATAATAATTGTAATTAGTTCTGCTTACCTATAAATTTTTTTCAAAAATACTTACCTGTCTTCTTACTTTTTTTTATATATACTCAATATCACTAAACGTAAACACAGGTTTTTATCAAGACAAGTGACCCATCAAGATTGTTTTCTTAGTACTGACGTACCTACCTAAAGTTTACAATTTTGTGGCCACGACGCGGTGACGTTTTGTGACATTTTGTTGTATTGTAGGTTGTAGGTATCTAGGTAATAACAGTAGGTACCTATGAAAATCCCACATAATATACCTTGTTTGTCCGCCGCAAGAGTCGTCTAATAAATAATTAAACTGTTTTGTAATTCTTTATTTATTTATAACACTTGCATTGAGAGCCGTGGTAGCTCAGATGGTTATCGTTCGCCGTAAGTATCACACTACGCGAGCAACCCGGGTTCGATCCCCGTCGGCACCAATGAAATTGTTGCAATTTTATATAGTAATCGTATATTATAGACTTAATTTTTTTTCTTTTATAATTATATTATATTACAGACGAAAATTGAAATAAAAAACAAAATTGTCTGTCGTCCAAAACGCATCATCTCTTTCAATTATATCAATTTCCATGCTGTCTTTTGTCTTTGGCGTCCAAATTACAAAATAGCAAAACTTTTCGTTTCGAATAAAACTCGAATAAGCCCGCGTCACCGCCCGTGCATGTGTGTGTAAGCGTCGTCCTCCCGCACCGCACCGGGGCAAACATTATTCAGTGAGATGCACGATAATTCATAGTAACATACGCGCGTAAAAAAATACGAAAAGGCCTTTGGAAGAAGGGGTTTTATGAAAAAACCACTGCATAAATTAATTACGAATAAAATTTCTTGAATTCTTCGATAATTGAGCTGTGTCGGTACCGACTTTGTTTTGGAAATTTCACACTTCTTTTATTACTAATTTACGCCCAAAGTTGTGTTAAAATTGGCAATAAAAACGAATCTTTGGTAGCTCGTAACTTTTTAATAACATTTTATTTTACTATTCTGTTTCCGTACAGACAAATTTGATAATGAGACAAAACGATATCATGTTTAACTTTGGATGTACACTGTCAAACAGCGTAGTAAAACCCCTCCGAAATTTGTATGGAAATCAATGGAAATATTGTCGACTAGTGTCACCTTAATATGTGTTACATTAACTGCTATGCGGCGTAATAAATCTTAAAAAAAGACGAAAAAAAAAAAGACTAAAGAACTAAAAAGAATATAATCTTCGAAATCGGTTGACGTGGGATATAATTCTTCTCTTTTGCAAATTGAAGAGTTTGATAATTTTCTCATGGATTCCATTATTAGATCTTATCCAAAATTATATAGGACCATCCCAGACAGGTACCTTTCTACATAACATATAATATGGGAAAATTCCGACGAATTAATAACCTCTTCTTTTTTGAATCAGGTTGAAAAAGTTAAAAGGTAAGAACGCTTTAACAAGAATACACTACAAATTTTACAATCATTACTGCCTAAAAGTCTACTGCTGAACATTAGTCTCCCCCATAGATTGCTTCTTGGCAACCGCACTTTTTTTTTTTAATAATATTGAGTTGTTATCAGGAAAATGCTGCTGTTTCAGTTCATCATCATATCAGTCTCCTCTTACGACACCCACGGGACGATATGGGCTAAAGGAAATTGCCACTACGCGGTCAGCACAAGTCGGTGGAAGCCTATTAGCCAAGGTGGCTAAAACAAGTTTGTTATTCTGAGCACGTCCACAGCGCGACGCTACTATCGTGGTATTGTACCAATGAGGACATCCACGACTTTTTCTGCCACCAGGGCGGCGCCACTTTACAATGAGGTAAATCATATGACAGATTTCATAGCGGAGAAGATAATTTTTTAGAAAAATGTAAAGTGTTAATGTTTCTTTCTGTATTATTAGTTATATTTTATACTAATTACAATTTTTTTCGTGTTAAAAACTTCTCTAAGCCATAGTTTATCAATAAAACACGTTTAGTAAATAACATAAACAAACTTTAAGAATTGTTATGAATAAGATCGTAATTAAACAAACTGGATTTATAATTATTCATAATTACTACATATATTATACTATATATTTTTAATTTATTTATTTTTAATATCATTCACCACACGTCAAACAGTCTCTTCCGGACTGAGTTTTACCAGTTCCTCTGATATGGACCACAACTTAGCCGCTAATTCCTTATCCATAGCTTTCGGAGACATTCTACTTTCACTGCAATCCTCTAAGTAGCATCCAGTCATATAGTCACATTCATGGGAAACTGCCAGGTAAATGGACGTCTGCGCTCCTTCTGCGGGGCTTTTGAAGAAAAAGTACAGCACCAAACTCTTCAACTTCTCCAGGAGCGATGAACTTCTGTACAATGAAGTGTTCACTTGTCCAGGGTTCAGACTGTTAACTGTGACTCCGGTCCCCTCCAATCTTCTTGCCAATTCATTACTGAATAGGACGTTGCAAAGTTTGCTATTGGCGTAAGCTTGTAAATAACCTTCTGTCTGTTCATTAATATTCTGAATGTTTCCGAGTTTATGCATCGCTGACGACACGATAACGACCCGACTAGGCGCCGACTTCTTCAACATTGGAACTAGTAATACGGTCAGAAGGAACGGGCCAAAATAGTTAATTTGCATATCCTTCATAATACCATCTTCAGTTTTTTCCCTGCCTGGGTAAATTACCCCAGCATTGTTTATGAGTACATCCAACTTTGCCTCCGTGCTTGTAAAATCTTTAACAAATTTCCTTACAGACTTAAGAGATGACAAATCTAGATGAATATACCTAACGAACTTATTCTTGGTCGCTTTTATAATAGTTTCTACAGATTGTTTGCCCCTTTCGTCGTCGCGACATGCGATTATCACCTTTGCCCCCCTCCTAGCTAAGTCCAAAGCTGTTTCGAAGCCTATCCCTCCACTCGCACCTGTTACAATGACAACGTTCCCGGTCATGACGCTGGCACAATAACATTTGCCCGTAGTCAGTTTATTGAAGGCTTTTATCAATATCAAAGCGATCAATCCATATAACCCACATCATTTTTTAATTTAAAAGACTAATTTATATCACACCAATATTTGTGGGATGCGAATCCTAAATTCAATTTGAACTTTGCTATTTTTGTGATTTAATCAGTTATATTTCAGATTTTATGTTTTAAAATATTAAAATTGATAAGCTATCGATAATGCTCCTTATATAAATCAGAAAAACACAAAATATACCTGATAACACTCACAAAAATTAATAAAATTTTAAATCGTCGTGCTTATCAATCTAAGAACGATATTGACGACGTCTCTATCAAAACGCGGCCTACGCGTGACTGGTTTGGTTAAAAGATCAATAAAATCGTCGCATTAGTTGTACTACGAGTTTTATCAAAGCTACGATAATAAAAAAAAATGTTAGACTGATTATTCTAACGATTGGTAATTTATTTAACTAACAAAGTGTTCTTTTTACTAATGTTATATTTTTGTTGCGATCTTTTTTTGATGCTAGCCGCAAAACCAGAATTGATTACTTAACATTAGAACATTATTCTTAATTTATTTTCTTTCATTTGGTCTTCTCTCGACACTAACACTATCCAATTTGTACAATAGGAACGTGTAAATTAAAGAATTGGTAATTTATTTACATGCCAAAGTCAAATCAGAAAAGTACTTAGATGAAAAGCAAGTGTACAAGTAAACAAATTAGATTTTACTAAACTCAACCGTATATTTTTTAACAATAAAATTAACTTTATATAAAAAGTTGTGTAGTAGCGGTGTAAGAATATCGCCCCGTAGGTGTCGAGAGAGGCGACAGAGGGATATTGAAACCGGGAGATGGGCAGCAACATCTACCTAACAACAGCTTAAAATAACAAAATATCGCAGTTGCCAATTCGCTTACCGAGCATGGCAACAATGACAAAATCCCCCCTATAAGCCAATCTGTATTAGGCTGTAGTGAATGAATAAATGAAAATCACATAAATGTGTCTATATGTGAGTAGTTAACCCAGGTTCGATCCCCGTTGGCACCACTGAAATTGTTAATTGAAATTTTTAAATTCTGATTTGATGTGCTCGGTGGTGAAGGAAAACATCGTGAGGAAACCTGCATCTCTGAGGAATGAAATATTTTGAGAGTACCTATGTGATGTCCTCTAATAGACACTAAAACAGCACGTTGGTCTAACTAATCCGTAACCCTTTAAGAAGAGACGGGTAGCTGTAACTTTTATATACATCTAGCCAACAATTTTTCTGGGGTGGGCCTAAATAAGCATAGACCCTACTACACTGTGAAAGTACTGCTTACGGCGCAATGGGGTTTTTTCTCTTGTGGATCTAAAGCTTTGGTCTCTTGATCGGAAAGTACAACGCTACTTTATGTGTTTTGTGGTATCGGATACTTAATTTTTAGGGTTCCGTACCCAAACAGTAACCCACGGGGGACCCTATTATTAAGCTTCCGTCGTCCGTCCGTCCGTCCGTCCGTCCGTCCGTCCGTCCGTCCGTCCGTCCGTGACCGTGACGTGTATTACGATGGTATGGAACTTTTCATACGCAAGTCCGACTCGCACTTGGCCTGACGCTTGCGTCCAATTGTGGAATGTTTAAAGCAAGTAATTTGTTTTTTTATTTAAATAAGTAGTGTTAAATGTTATCACCGAAATATAAAATTTTCGTCACCTTTTATAGGCATTACAATTTTAATAACAATTTATTGTAATAGTGTTATCGTTGAATTGATATTACAATTAAAAATAAAATAGTCTGTCGCATTTACAACGTGTAATAATACTTAATTTTAGTAAGTTACCTAATTTCAATAAATTATATTCTGTGTCTATCATAATTTTTTTATTTTTTTATTTATTTATATACACAACAAGACAGAAACTATCAAATAGTGAGTTTGTACAAAGGTACTACTTATTCCATAATTTAATTAAGTTGTTTTTTGTTAATATAATATCAAAAATAAGATGATTAATTCAATAAACAGTAAAGACCTAATAGAATAGTACTCCGTTATCGTTAATTTATTATTAAAACACACGTTGTATTAATTATTTAAAAGTAACGAGCGATTCTTTTATTATATTAATGAATTACGTTGTAATTGTGTAATGTACTGTCATTTATCGCCATAATTAGTTAGTAAATGACCACGATCAATCAACCTTCTGACCGCTTTATCAGCCGCTACTGGCCTATATCGCGAGGTCGGACGATAACATTTATTTATAGTAGAGAAGAGAAGAGATGCCGTGAATAGTTGTTTTAGCGAATAGTCGAATATCGATTAATCGCCATTCCCTATAGCGAATAGTCGAATAACTCGCCATTATTATTCGACATAAAAAGAACTTGTTAGTCTTGAACTTACCAATCATTTATTTGTTAATCTATAAATTTTCTAAAGTTATGCGAAAATAAAACAATGAAGTTAAAGAAATCAGTCTCATATATAAATTTTACATTTTTAAATGCTGGCAACCTTTTCTTGTACGTATTTTACGGGGAATACCTTGTTTTGTATAATCCAGAATTTAATACTGTAGGAGATTTCCCGCCCAATCGATTTCGCTTGTGTTTAGATTGGGTGGCAGGCATTTTATAAATTTTAATTAAAACTTGAACATGACATCACTAATTTTTGGCAAACTTTTTTTTATTAATGATAATACTGTTTTGTTTATTCAAGAAAAATTAGAGTTTGATTATTTTTAAGTCTATTGTTTTCTTGTTCATTAAAAGTTTAGAAAATTATTCGTCGAATGTCGAATAATGGATTTCAATTAACTTTTATTCAGTATTCGACGAATAACAAAAAAATGTCGAGTAATACCGAATACCGAATAATAGCGATTATTCGCGGCATCTCTAATAATTTATAGCCTCCTGAAATAGCCGTCGTAGCTGAGAAGCTAAGCGCTAGGCATGAATTTCACGGTACGCGAGCCATCCGGATTTGATTCCCACCGGTAGCCGGTACCAATGAAATTGTTACCTGCAATTGTTACCTGCAATTTTAAATGCCGATTTACCTTGTACTCTGCGTTGAAACAAACATCGTGCGGAGGAAACCTGCTCTTCTTGAGTAATAATATAATTGCAGTCCAACTCCGACTGGAGCAGCAGTCGGGCAGGCGGGTTTAATTGATCCATAACTCTCTCAGTAGGCCTAAGATACCTGTGCCCAAACAGTCCGGCTTATAGCAGCAGAACCTAACACTAACTTTTCTGAAATAAAAAAGGTAACTGCTGAAGTATTGAGACATACGCAATATCCTCTTCATAGAACTAAATGTCGTATACTTGCTCCAGGATCCAGACTCGTTTAATCTAGAATCTCGAAGATAATAAATATTAAAAGTGGATCTTCTGACAAAGTATGCAACTCTTTCTGCTATATTCACTATAACATCACTTCTTAACTCAACTCTTCTTAGCTGATAAATTTTTAATTTTAATAAGCACTCGTCAACTCTATTAAAAAAAGTAGAATTATAACGCTATAAACAAGATTATTTTGTAACAACCGGTCAAAATTGCAGAGAAGGTTCAGAATAAGTAATATAGGCAAATGCTTAAGAAAAATTATTTAAAAAAAAAACTCAAACATTCTGCCCTTTTTATCTTTTAAATTTAAAATATGTGGTAATGCATTATTTTAACTAATTGTCATTCATAAATATCTTAAGCGTACTATTTTACTACGCACGCACACATATGTAAGGGTCGATCGGTCGGCTAAAACGTGAATTGAATGGCACAAAGAGGAGCGCGCGTACGCGTAGTCGTTGCCCATAAATGACATTCAATTTGAGATAACTTCACATAAAAGTAGAAGCCTTGTTTACTCGTATTTTCAAAAACTGCAATAACGGTATATCATTAAATATATATAAATATATATGTGATCTTTAGTTTATAATTCGGTTACTCTTTGACAAATAACTATATAGACTTTATCAGCTTATATTAGGTTACCTAAACTATTAAAAAAAACTATTGTAAATCCAAAGCAATATATTTGTTCCATTTATATTCTAGCAATTGATGTAATTGCATTAAAAATAAGAGTTATGGGAAACCAGCATTTTACAAGTTTGAGACATTCAAAAATTCCAGAAGTATCCAAGAAGCAGTCGTTGGTTCCAGGTGTCCACGAGTTAACATCTGGACTGTTAGCTTTTTACTTTTAAGGTTATCCTTCAATTAAGCTTGGTTTTTCCAGCTGTATGGTGCTGCGATGGGCGGCGGTGCAGCAGTAGCAGGTGGGGCAGGACAGCATGGCCCTATGCCGGGTCAGCAGCAGAGAAATTTCAGAAAAGGTTAATTATTTAAAAATTCTTAATGATTGCCGAGAATGTAAAATAATTAATTAATACAATTTTCGACAAGTTTTTGGACAGGTTTTTAATTTGTGGCATATAACATTACAGGTTGTGAGGCATTCCATCTTAGTCCTCAGACGTGATAACGCATCTGTAGCCTTCTTTGTTTGAAGTTTGCTGTAGGCGTCCATGAACTGCACTAGCCACCTGCCATCAGGTGGATTTATAAAAAAAAAAATACAAATTTAAAACACTTTTTGTGTTTAGATGAGAGTATTTGAACATCGAATTAAAAGTAATTATTACAGATTCCAATTTTCATTTTGGTTTTCAAGGTGTTTGAAAGTTTAAAATGTTTGCATCTACGTAGGTCATTCAATAAGTTTTGAGATGTTCGAAATTTATAAAATTGAACGCACCGCGTTATATGTTATTTAAAAATAGAACTCCATAAGCCAATTGCTCAATATTAGAAAAAAAAAACAAAGTTCTATTAATTTTCCTGCAATGCTTCCCGCGCTTTTCATTTAAAACGATGGATTTTAACCGTTACATTTGTGCGCTATGATATATTATGATTTTAAATTTGGTTTAACCGAACAATTAAGTTTACAACGGTTACAATCAGCATTAGGGGACTCAGCTCCATCACACGCAACAATTATTAGGTGGAAGGGGACCAAAGAGCCGGAGCCCTGTAAACAGCAGTAACGGCAGAAAATGTATGAACTACTGAAATGTTGGTGCAAGAAGACACTCGAATCACATTTCGCAAATTTAGGATGAAACGGACCTAACTCAAAAAAGTAATTTTGTGAGAAATCGAAAAAAAACGAATGTAAATTGTGACACCTTATTAATTTTTACATTAATTCGGAACTATTTGAGTTAATAGCAAAGTTATTGCTGAAAACATATATCTACGAATTCCTTTAAAAAAAAGTGTAAAGTTAGGAAGGGTAGAAGTGGAAGAAGACGAAGACTTTTTTCTATATTACTTTTCTTTTGTAACCTACAAGTTAACTTAACTAGGTACTGTGACGATGTGAGTAGACAGCAATAATGGTCTACAAAGTAATTAATAAATTAATTTAATTACTACTGGTCTGTCTTAACAATTAGACTCTGGATTTTATACTATATTGAATATTCTTAAGTCGCGTAAAAGACGTGCTGTTATTTGTTTAGCGGGCAGAGCTGTAAGGTAGGTGACTTTCTTGATGGCATTATGTATAATAATTCTTAAATCACGTAAGTGAATTGAGTCACGTCGTGCTGTAATTTGCTTTAACAGGCGCGGCTGTATTGTAGGTGACTTCCTGATGCCATATAAGGTTCTAGGTATAATATGTAACTCGTGTCTTACAAATAAACCACCCTTTTCGTCGATTACAATATCATAAATATGCACATAGATTTTTTATTCATTTGTTTTTGTTGAAGATTTCCTATAACAGATTTCTTTTAAAGCATAATAAACTGAACTTCGTCGATAGGAATTCTTAAATAGTATGTTATTTATGATTTGATGTGAGTTAAAAGAGCGACACGGCTGTCATATATCGTACGCTTGTGGACGCGCACGTGGCTCACGTGTGGTGTGTGTGTGTGCGCAGTGGGCGTGGGGTCGGGCGTGCAGGTGGCGGCGGCGACGGGGCAGCCGCTGCTGGCGCCGGCGCCCATGCAGCCCTTCGTGCCCTACCCGCACCCGCACGCGCACCCGCACGCGCACCCCGCGCACGCGGCGCACGCCGCCCACGCGGCACACGCCGCGCCGCAGCCCGCGCTCCAGTACCAGCACATGGTCAGTCGCACTGCAGCACCCACCGTCAGCCCCTCACAGCTCGAAGGAATGTCGCTAACACGCTCCCGACTCACCCGCTTTACTCAACTTCATCCATGCATCACAACATTGATCTTTGCCTATAAGAGATCGTTGTTTAGCTAAAGGCTACTTAATTATACTAAATATATAATATGTAGATAGGTATGTGGTTTTTTTGTAACATGTTTAACTTTGTAACAATAAAGAGTATAAATACATCTAACATAGTTATCGTTAATAATTTTTAAAGATTTCAATTTAAACATTCAGTCCTTTTCATACTATTGACTAGATACTACATATTGACAATACAAACTATTTTTTACTAAAACAGACTAATCTCTCAATTATCTCGAAAACTCATACGGGAAGGAATTTGGACGCTATTTTTTACATAGTGTGCAGTACTGAAATGTGAAAGTACAAGAAAACAAAGTTTGCCTTAATGTTCTAGGAGTGTGATAATTGTTCGGATTTTATAATATTTTTACCACGTTTAAATATTTTTAAATTTTATTCTACATATATTATATTATATGTTATTATACAGACTCCTAGTTTTCAATTTCATTATCTTAAGTATTTAAATATTTTCTAATCGACAAATTTCGTCCTTATTCCTTACTGCTCATTGATTACATGCATAATCTCCATTCATAATAGGTAACACTGTATATCTATCTCATTCTTTCGCAGGCTAATTTCTATAGATGTATTATGTATTTTTTTTAATGTCGTTTTTTCATTTCATCTAGTTTCAAATCATAACGATTCTACCATTTGCGAAGATATAAAATAGAATTTTAATTGACGTAGACTCTATTTACTGTCGCTGTCTCACGTCCATCGGTAACGACTATAAAAAAAATCAGACGCTGTAATAAGTGTTATTTGTGCTTCTAATTTCAGGTCCAAGTAACAATATAATAATAATTTCAATATAATTTTAATTATTGAATTGTTTTATATGAGTAGTCTCAATGATTTCATTACATTAAATATATGTAAATATATTATTTGCAAATTAATTTACCACCTTATTATAATATTCATTAAATAAAAGGTTTTTCCTTTTTTTGGGATTTTCTAAATGAACTATTCATAACGTTCATTAGATAAAATATCGTTATTTGTAAGTAACGTAATGATATAAGGCTATTAGCGCTGTTTTCGCTTTAGGTACTGTGTATGTTGGCAATACAGCCTCTAATGATGAGCCGTCATTTTTAATTGTATTTTTATCTGCACCGGCAGGAAAGAAGTTTTTATTTGAAACATTGTTTATATCTGTGGAAGGACATTTTAACAAAGTACGATAGTGTGGTAAAATAGCAGTTGAGGAATGATTGCGTGGTGCTGCAGGTGCGGATGTACCACGGCGGCGGCGTGGCGCCGGGCGTGGGCGTGGGCGTGGGCGCGGGCGAGGGCGCGGCGTACGCCCCGCAGGCGCCGTCGCCCGCCGCCGCGTCGCCCGCGCTCTACCCGCCGCCGTCGCCCGCGCACACGCCGCACCCGCACCCGCACCCCCACCCGCACCCGCACCACCACTACCAGCAGCCGCCCTTCCAGGTAACCCCACATACACCCCACATACACCCCACATACACCCCACATACACATCTCACATTCAGTTCTTCTCACCCGATCACTCCACTGTTGATTCCTCTTACGACCCAGATCATTCGACTCTATCGTTCAAATGAATCATTGCGAGTTTCACTACTCTATGATCTGTGAGACTCGCTCACTAATATCGGACATTACTATAATCTTTGGTCGTAGATCGTTGGATCCAAAACGTTTAAAAATGTTATTGCAATCATTAATACTTTGATTAGACCTGGGTCAAATGAACGAATCGTTCGCGATTGACACATGTACGTACGTCTACACGTACACGTTATAGAATACGTACATGTAATATGTATACATTTTGTATTTTTAAAAGGAAACTTATTAACTTTTCAAATATTAAAGCTTAAATTTAATTTAATTTCATTTATTGCTGAGACATGGTACAATAAGTTATTCACTTATAATATTTAGAATCATTAACATGTCTTATCGGCATCAGCGTACAAATAGCACAATAAATAATCTGTGGCGCAACGACAGCGCCGCATACAATTGCTGACGCAGTTCTTCAGACCAAGTTTTAATATTCCACTATCATACAAGGATCATTTTATTTTCTTAGTCTAATTATTATCATCATAATTTTTTGTATCATATTTACCATAAACTCCATTATACTAAAATTTTGTGAGAGCATTGTCCTTCCCTGGTCTCGCCGACAAATGCGTGCAGCATTAACGAAATACCACAAGTTTTTGTATTATGTAAAAAAATGTTGTTATGTTTTACATATTATGTTATTTGGATATATGCCATAGTTGTCAAGTTTGGCAGATGGATCATCAGCCGCTGTTTTTTTTTTTTTTAATTTTTTTATTGTTACTAAAAAGACGCTGCTGTCCATCTTCTAATTTTTCCCCCCTGCCACGTCTTACAACACCCACAGAACGATATACGGTAGTGAATATTCTTACACCGCCACTACACATTCGCTTTTTTGCTTAGCAAGTTAGTTTACTCACCTTTTATGTAATGAACTTTTGCAAAGCAAGTCCCTATTCTGTCAATAAGAAATAACGTCATATAAAACCGAACTTTTTATGGGAGGCTATGTGTAAACTGTACGGACAGGGTGCTATTATGAATTTGACAAGATGGTGAGAATGCTAGTGTGTGTATTGCAGGTGCTGTGCCCGCTGATGGGGCCGGGCGGCACTGCGCACCACCACCATCACCACCACGTGGCCTACCTCAACCACGCGCCGCCCACCGCCTCGCCGCCGCACCACCCCCACCCCATACAGGTATAAAACTCTTAACGGCCTTTAATAAAGAAAAGTATTTAGTATGTACTTTTTTTTAAATATCCTTTTACCTTTTTTTTTTCAAAGATTTTTAATTTAAACACTGACTTGTGAGAAATTATCATTTTGTAGTAAGATTTTTTTACTATTGTAAGTCAGCGCTTGACGACTATCCCACTAGATGGTAAGTGCCAGCTGAGGTTGGTAAATCACCCTGACTTAGCTTAACAAAAGCTTATTTACTCTTGCCTTGAAGACAGTCCACATTACAATGGGATAGAGAGACAGATGCTGGCAGATTATTTCACTTCTTTGCTGTACGCATTATAAACGACGTAGTAAACACTATTTGGTTCGAATGCATGGTATGCAAGAGGCGTACCGTGGACTAATATAGACGTTGGTGAAGTCTCATCTACGAGACCCCTTTTCTTTCGTTCCCAAGATCTACTCAATAGTAGATCTCCGTCCCAAACATGCTTCGATACGTAATACCTACTCATAGCTATTAATTCCTGACAAGTCTCGTATTCCGTCAATCTAACGGTTGCGGTCTTTGAAGGTAGTTACAACGGTCTCGCAGTCACACTTAAGAGGGGCTTCTTGCGAGGCCCCAAACGAACACGCTTTTAAATATGTAAAAGTGATCAGATTAATTAGTCATCTCTAGTAGTCAGGGGCATCGCATTTCAAGGGCCTGGCGAGGCCTCTTTAAGTGCGAGGCCGTGAGCGAGGGCCCACTTCACCCACGCCCAGCTACGCCACTGATGGTATATTGATAACAAAAGGGTGGATACCAGCTGAGCGTCTGATGAATGGCGATGGAGGAATTAAGTCGTGCAATTCCTGCGCACACTCTCCAAATCCAAATGTCGGTGAACAATCGTCATTCTTAACAATATCAAGTACCAACATGTAGGCCTTCTTCGTTAAACAAAATAAGTAAAAGTATTTAACATACATTAACAGAACGATATGTGAACCATCCTTTTTTTTATAGGAGAGGGGGCAAACGAGCATGCGGCTCACTTGATGGTAAGTGACTACCGCCGCCCATGAACAACCGCAACACCAGGGGAATTGCAGATGCGTTGCCGGCCTTTTAAAAAGGAGTAGGCTCTTTTCTTGAAGGTCCCTAAGTCGTATCGGTCTGGAAAAATCGCTGGTGGTAACCTATTCCACAAGGAAGTTGTGCGAGGAAGAAAACATCTTCTAAATCGCATAGTGGTGGACCGCCAATCATCCAGATGGTGTGGATGGTATCGCGAGTTCTGCCGCGATGTGCGTTCGTGAAATTTAGCGGCTGGAATTAATCCGAACAATTCCTCAGAACACTCCCCATGGTAAATGCGAAAGAAAATGCAAAGAGATGCAACATCTCTTCGCAGTGCCAATGAGTCGAGCCGATCGGAAAGGACTCGGTCGTTGACGATTCGAGCCGCTCTGCGCTGGATGCGGTCAAGTGGAAGGAGCTGGCACTGGGGAGCCCCAGCCCAGAGATGGGAACAGTATTCCATGTGAGGCCGAACCTGCGCCGTGTAAAGTTGCAGGCGTTGAGCTGTCATGAAATACTGTCCCGCTCTGCTGAGCACGCCAAGCTTTTTAGAGGCTAATTTGGCCTTCTCTTCCAAGTGACCACGAAACTGCACGTCACTCGATATGTCGACGCCGAGGATTCCGATACTGGCTGAGGCAACAAGGGGAGTACCTTGAAACTGAGGAGATACGACAAAGGGGTTCTTTTTAGCGGTAAACGCGCAAACGTGTGTCTTCTGAGGATTAAACTGGACTAGATTTAGTCGCCCCCAATCCGAGACTTTGTCCAGCAAAGACTTGACTTCAGACACGTTTGTTCCGGTACTCGGTGACGTTTTCCCGAGAAATATTGGCACGGCCGGTGTATAGAGCATCATCAGTGCTGTCATCCACATAGCAATGAATGCTACCGGCTTGCAACATATCATTGATATGCAGAAGAAACAGCGTTGGTAGATAGCACGCAGCCTTGTGGAACACCAGCGTTAATAGGCTTGTAGTCAGAGCATGCACCGTCTACAACGACCTTGATGCTCCGATCTGCAAGGAAGCTGGTGATCCAATTGCATAATTTCTCGGGAAGCCCATAGGAAGGGAGCTTCGAAAGAAGCGCTTTGTGCCAAACCCGATCGAAGGCCTTCGCCATGTCCAAACTAAAGGCCAATGCCTCCCACTTGGACTCTACTGCCTCCGCCCATCTATGACTTAAGTAGACCAGAAGATCATCAGCTGATCGACCCCGACGAAAACCGTACTGGCGGTCACTAATCAGCTGGTGATCAAGGTACCGCATGAGGTGGCAGTTTATAACGGATTCCATTATTTTGGAGAACAAGGGGGTGATGGCGATAGGCCAGTAGTTGGACGGGTCTGAGCGGTCGCCTTTTTTAGGGATCGGGTGGACAAAAGCTGTCTTCCATGATTTCGGGACTACGCCTAGGGAGTAGGAGTACCGGAAAAGACGCGTTAGAACCGGTGCCAACTCCGGAGCACACGTCCTCAGCACAATTGGTGGGATTCCGTCAGGCCCACTCGACTTGTGGATGTCAAGGGAGAGGAGTGCTCTGCGAACCGAGCGCTGTGAGAACCGCACATCCGGCATGGAGCACTCACACCGCGGGATGGTCGGCGGTGTGTTCCCCCCGTCATCAACAGTCGAGTTGGACGCAAAAAGGGAGCCTAAAAGGTCGGCTTTCTCTTTTGGGTCGTGGGCCAGTGAGTCGTCCTCCCTGTGCAGAGATGGTAGTGATGGCTTACAGAAATTCCCTTGGACAGCCTTGGCGAGAGACCAGAATGCACGGGTTCCCGAAGGAAGGCGAACTTGTTTCTCGCCAATTCTGCTTATGTGCTCTGACTTTGCCTTGGCAATAACTCTTTTGAAGGACCTGGAGGCGAAGTTATACTTCTTTTTAAGTATGCTGGTGTTTACATCCCGAGTCGCCGAAGCCGCAGCCCAGGCTTGATAACACTCCTGTTTACTGCGTAAAGCAGTCTTACAGGAGCGACCAAACCAAGGCTGAGATCTGCCTCCGATGGGTACCACATTTGATGGAATAAATAGTTCCATTCCCTGTAGCACTACATCAGTGACAGAGTCAGCAACAGCGCTGGGATCATCCGGCGAGAAGCAAACCCGCCCCCATGGGTATGATGCAAAGAAAGACCGCATTCCGTCCCAATCCGCCGACCTGTAATGCCAAACACGGCGGCAACCTGCAGAACGCAACCGCGAGGGGAGCGTGAGTGGCACCACACTCCGGATCAGACAATGGTCCGAAGAGCCAAGAGGGGCATCGACGGAAACCTGATATCCGTCCGGATGAGAGGTCAGCAGAAGGTCCAACAGGGAAGGTGTATGATCCTCAACATCTGGAATCCGCGTAGGCGATGTAATCAGTTGTGTCAGACCATATGCCAAGGCAAAGTCATAAACAGATCTCCCCGCATGATCGGTTAAACGTGAACCGAGCCATTCGGCATGGTGGGCGTTAAAATCGCCAAGGATCACGATCTCTGCGGATGGGAGCTGTTGTAGCAAGGAATCTGTAGCCATTTGGACGTGGTCGATGAGTCGGTCTGTTTCGGCATTACCGCTATGGGACCTATAGAGGTACCTGTAGACGCGCGGATGGTCGTCGCTGTCTACGCGTAGCCAAAAGATGGACAGGTCCGAACCTTCAAGACTGCCGAGGCGTCGAGAACAGATGTCCTCTCTGACATACACGCAAACTCCAGCCCGAGGCACAAAGGAGTGCTCCAATTTGTACCCCGGGTAGGAGAGATACGAAGTATCAGCCGGAGAAGACACCTGCGTCTCGGTCAGAAAGAGGGCCTCCGGTCACCTGCACTCACCAGACGAAACGCGGAAGTAGAGCTTCCACTTCAAGCCCGTATTCCGTGAGGTCGTGGTACTAACCCGGCTCGAGCTGGCCCATACGTGCAACAGCAAAAGCTGCTGCGTGGCTCTACCACCGTTAACTTACCTTACCTTTGTACATCAAATAGAATGACGCATTTAGGGGAGTGTGTAAAGCAATTTTTTTTTGTTTTATAGAATAGGGTGAGAAATGAGCACACAGTTCATGTGATGGTAAATTAATACTATAGCCCATCTTCGATAAAGAATCAAAATGCAGATGCGTTATTACTCCTAAGGACTAAGATGGAATACTTCGTTTCCGGTAAAAAGGGTATCCGGTTCTATACACTTAGCTTACGAATGACAGGAGCATTAAGCTGCTATTTTACGCTGGTATATTGTGTCCTACGCCGCTCGAGCCGACCCATTCGTGCTACAACCATAATATAGCTACAGCGTGCCTACATCTACGAGGGGTGATCGAAAACTAATGATAATCGGTTATTACCAGTGTACATAAAAAATTCAAAAAATTTTGCTTGCTTATATAACCCACTAGAACAAAATAAAAAAATCATATAAATAGGATTTTAATACGAATCATCGAAGAGATAACATCAAAATGGAGAAAGACGAAATTAGAGCTGTCATCAAGTATACCTGTTTTAAAAAAATGTCTACCTAAATATATACACAGCGATTTGGTAGAAACATTGTGGGGTTGCACATATCTACAGTTGCACGCTGGGCCAGAGAGTTTAAAAGTTGGGAACATCCACGGAAGATAAACATCGCGAAGGACGCCCATCCACATCCTTCACTGTGAAGATAACATGATAATAGTCGAAAATGTCGTATTGGCAGATTGAAAAGTGACCAGGCATAAAGCTGAGGTCACAGGGATCTCATATGGCAGTGTTCAAAGAATCCTTGCGATCGAATGGCATATGAAAAATATCTCTGTGCATTGGGTACCGAGAATGTTAACCGACGAGCAAAAGAAAAAATGAGGCGACATTTTGAGTGAATCTAGAAAGGTTCCAAGCAGATCAGGAAAATGAACGAGACCAGATTTACCATTTGATACTGAAACTAAACAACAATTAATGGTTTGGAAATGAGCTTCTTCGCCGAAGCTGAAGAAATTCGGCGGGAAAGGTTATGGGGTCTGTTTTTTTTTTGACGCTAAAGGAATAATTATGGTGGCATATTTAGAAAACGAAGTAACTATTTCGGGCTCTTATTACGCAGGCCAAATAAGAAGATTGTGGGAGGCTCTTAAGGAAAAAAGACGCGGCAAACTGCGAGCTGGAGTCCTGTTTCACCAAGACAACGCTCCGGCCCATAAAGCCGTTGTTACTATGGCTGACATTCAAGAAACGGGATTTAAATTTATCGAGCACTCGTCCTATTTGCCAGATCTAGCTCCTAGTGACTTCTATCTATTTCCTCGGTTCTAGGAACACCTTGGAGACAAAAAATTTGCAGACAATAGCGAAGTGATAAACGCTTTTGAGACTTTTTTGAAGGGTTAAGATAAAGATTTTTTTAAGGGAATTTTGGGTTTAGAAAAAAGATGTACAATATGCATTGACTTGTTTTTTAGGTCTCCTATGTATATATGTAGAAAAATATTTTTTTAACCATAAATACCGTGTTTAATATTGATTATCATTAGTTTTGGGGAAGCCCATGTATGATATTGCTCCAGTGTGTCTGTAGCAAACAATAAATTTGCAGCAAGTGCTGCTGCCGCCCCAGCACCAGTCGTCGGGCGGGTCGAGCACGCCGGGCGTGCACTCGGCGCACCCGTAACAGCCGCGGCGCCCGCTCGCCGCGCCGCTCGCCGCGCCGCTCGCCGCGCCGCTCGCCGCGCCGCCCGCCGCGCCGCACACCGCGCGCACAGCCACGCGCCCGCCGTGCTAAGCGCCGCGTGCGCACACCCTATCGCTCACAACATAAGCTCGGATTTCCTCTGGCTACCGGTTCGAATATCAATATCGGTCTGATGCTGCGATTCCTGTGTGTCGACGTTCGATCGCCAACCTCAACTTATAAAGCTACTTTATTCTCGAACTGATAAGGTCGTAATTTGTTAACGTGTTGGTGTTCGATGTCAGTGGTTGTAAATTCTTAATGTTTGAGTATCAATTTGATTGGTGTATGTTGACATTCGAATCTCTATGTTAGTGTCAACTTTTAATGCAAATGGTATAAGATTTATATTTATGGCGAAATCGTCTCTCTGTTTAATATTGTATTGGAAAATAAATATTACTCCAAAGGGATAAGGTCATACAACAAAATGAACAATAACAAAAAATATATAAACAAAAAAATTTCATTAGCTTTTTGGGGCTTACTTTGAATATTTTGTACAAAAATATTTCAAAAAAAAAAATTGCTATGAAATCTAAATTCAATGAAAATATCCATGTTATTTATTATTGGTCAATTATATAATGCAACATAAAGTATTTTTTATAAGTTATTACCAAGAATAACACGAATATTACCAAGAAATGAAGTTTAAATGTTTTTAGTGTGAAGAAAATGATGATTGTGATTAAAATGAAAATCTAATTAATCAATTTTCTCTTGGAACAACGTTTGGAAAAATGTTAATTTTTGCAATCAGAAAATAATTCTTTTACCTTTGTATTAGAGTTGATAATATTACGTTCGATCTTTTAACAATAAGGTGATTTATTATTAGTGCGACATGACTCAAATTGTGACATTTCAATGATCCCAGAATTTAGTAAAACTCACTAATAGTGAACAAAGGTCTTTCAATCTGCCTTAATAATTGCACATATTTGAGCTTTGTCGCATCTATTCAATACCTACACATCACTGGCACATAAACTTTCTTAATATAAATTTTAAAACGAACGGAAAGGAATAAATTGCCTTTTTGCGTAAATGCAAATTCTTGGCTGCAATAATTGTAGAGTAATTTTTTATTATTAATATAACTTGGATGTGTCAATGTTAAATTTAAAATCTCCGTTGTATGGAGGTACTTAGATCTGCTGTTGGCAACACATATTAGATGTAATGTTGCCAGCAGGAATAAATAAATGCCAGTGGTAACTTTTTATAACAGCCTACTCGGTTAGCTTAGCACGGCGGGGCAAAAAATATAATATAACACTTATGTATAAGCGTAATTGGTGTGTGCACTGTGAGGTGGATTTCTACATCTGGCGAATGCAAAGATCGCCGGAAGTAGAACTCGTGTATTATAGATAGATAAATTACTTCCTCCTGTTTGGAGTCGGTGGAATTGTGTCAATTGATTGAGACGAAATATTTCGTGAATTGAACGGCCAATATTTTAAGGTTTAGGCAAATTTCGGACAAATTTCACTGGAAAACAACTTACCAAATTTGAAAGTAATTATAATAAAAAAATCATTAACATGCTATTTATGTATCTTTAATTTGTCTTTTTGTTAACATTCTATTTTGAACCCAGTGTAATATTATTTTAAAAGTAATTTTCTCGAAAAACACTCAAATACTGCCATTCGCTCTTTTAAACATTTACTTCGATTTTCACAACTTTAGTTATGCGTGGATCTATATAGAAAAATGCATCACAATTATATGTAGCCACAGATAACAATACAGATAAATAATTCAAAATTATTATTCGCGTGTTAAATTGTCACAATTCCACGTGGCCATATTGTTTACGAGGAACTCGCGTCGCTTCGGTCGATGCGATGCAGTCAAATATGTATTTATTTAGTGTTACGTTAGTTTTTATGTGAACCCTCCGCTGATTTTCCAAATCTTGACGCGAAAGTGAAAATTCCCTTGTATGATTCGCGTTTGGGGAGATGTTTCTTGTTTACCTTCTCGCGTGGAGCTATGTTCTGTGGACTTATTTGATACTTTTATATAGACGTGTTTCGATTAGCTTTCGGTTTTTAGAAATGTATGTGTCTGTCCGACGTGTGGTACAGTTGTTATATTTTAAAGATTTTTGGAATGTCGACAAATTGTGCACGCTGAATTTTTGTGAGGCTCGGAATTGTTACTTTGGTGTAATAGATTTGCGTCCAAAAAGCACTTGTACTATGAACTATAGCCCTGAATATAATCATATGATTAAAATTAGTATGTGCCGTTAGATCTTATGGACATACAAAGAGCACGTATTAGAGTAAAAAGTGACAGTTCATTAACTGATATTTGTAAATCCTAATGAAAGTTAATATTTTTCTTGTTCCTGCATTTGCCCTTCAAGGCATTCTTTTCTCTAGTTTGCCTTCTAGTATGTACAGTTGAGCATCTCAATATCATGTTTACCTAAACGGCTGCAAAACTATTAAACATATAAAAGTCTTTTTAGTTTTTATTTTGTTGAATAAGTCATGTATTATGGATAATTATGTGAAGTATATCGATCGTTAAAAATTCAGCGTGCACGTGCGTATATTATTATATTTATAAATGTTTATTTCCACATTTACTGCCTTTCGAAGTTGTGCTACTGCGATTTTAGATTGTGCGTTTGGGACGCAAGTAGAAGTGACAATAAAACAAATTGATAAAGATAGGGTAAGGTTACTACTACCGTCGCTTCAAGCGTAATATTGACAAGGGATTTTGAATATTGTGAAAATAGTTTATTTGGGGTACGTTAAGTTCAAATTCCTGTGTCAATGTGGACGAAAGTGAGGCATCATCGATCAATTTTGTTTGAACAGTCGTCATAGCAAATTTGATGTTATACTTCAATTCCTTTTACATGTATTTTTGTTTTTTCCCGTCGGCCTCGAAAACTCACCGATGTCACCCACTAACTGTAATGAGAAGGGGACCATTGCTATTATAAATGCTGTTAGAAGTCAGTATTTTTGTGTGAATGTAAACAAGCAAGGTTGAATAAGAAACGTGTGTGTGAGTTAGATAAAAACGTATATTGTGATTGCGTATGTTTGGTCTCAGCACTTTACTCCAATTATATAATATTGAATTTGAGCTAACCAAGTTGCATCCAATTTGGAGCCTATAAAGTGATTTCTTTCACAACCAACTTGTATACAACGATCTTTTTAGATTATAATTCCTATTTATGTGAGGTATAACGCAAATTTGTTACGATGACTGACGTAATTGTTCTTTTCAGATAACTTTCAACATTTTTCTTAGTTAATGATAATCGCGTTGTTACTAAAAATTCAAATCCCGTAGTTTTTCTTATTTATTTAAGTTTACAAAGAATTTCTTATTTATATGAACATGTATAAGCTCGTATACAATTATTGTAACAAATAACCGCTTTAGGTTCTTGCATACTCTTAGACACCGTAATCCAAACATATGGTCCTCTGATCCCAGGGCCACTATTCCATTGTTTGTTTGTTTGAAAGGAGGGGGGCTCTGTCCATGACCTCCGCGCGGTGCTCCCTGGGTAGCGCCAAACGTGGACAAATGCAATTCACATATTTATAGCAATTTGTCTATTGAGATACATTCGCTAAGTGTTTTGGTCCTTCGTGGAAAGGGTTTTGGAGTCGCTTATTTAGACTTATACAAATAAATAATCTAAAAAAAATTACAAACAAAATTAATAGGAACTGAATAATGTTTATAATTATACAGTAAATTAAAACGTATGCGTAATCGATCAATCAGATTCAAATTTCATCAAATTTCAAATATAAAACTTGAAAATAAAACACGTAGATCTTAATAGATATTATACAATAGACATATTTACATTATATATGATTATCACGACAAGTTCGCTGGAATTGTATTAAACATCTTTCCTAAGTCCATAGATATACTAAGATAGTTGTACATATGTATATAGATTATATAGATGGGAAACACTCGTCCTTTCCTAATGAGAACGGCTTCTATTCGTGTAAAATTTGTGATGTATAAATACAAAAACGATAACATTGAAAAAAATCACAAAAAAAAATAATCGGAAAAGGGCCTATTTGACTCGCACCACGGAATTAGCCACACTTAGATATCTTTTTGAAATGTGGCGCGAGTCATTCGTATATTTTATTGTTTTCTTTTTTTTTTCATTTATTTTTCTGATTGTTTTCCTTTAAATTTTATTACCCGCGCGAGCGCGTTCACCTGTGTTGCTAGATGAGAGTGAGATATGAGAAATTATATGAGCGTTTGTTGTTTGTTGTGCGCTGTAATATAAATGATATAAATATATGAATATAATTTCCCTCGTCGCGGCGAAATCGTCCGAGCATTTAGAGGCAGCGAGTAGTACGGATTGTATGGAGTTGCTTTCGGAGTTTTTGCGGCGACATTGTAATTCCTTATTGAGCCTGCGAAGGCGTCGAGGTCCTTTGTTACATATTTTTACGGTCACGGACTGCGCAAAAGAATCCATGTTGCTATATGGGCAGCGACATTACTATCTTTAGTTTCGTAATGTTTTGAAACGGTCCGGAAGTTTTGAAAATCAATTTATAACATGTAAACGTATGAAGGCAAGCTACAGTTTATGAGCAGGCAGCTTTTGAGTATGTTGTAAGCCGAATCATTTAAACGAAGATTATATCAGAAAATGCAAATTAGAGTTAATTCCCACTAGCTTTACTGTTCAGTCAGTAACTTTTTTTCTAGTAGTTTAATTGAGCATTAATCCTTTTTGGATTGGAATAAAACTAGTTAACTCACAACATCTGATTAACCTAGCTTTATCTGGGTTAAGGCGATAGTAAATGTACGTTCAAACTGTTCCATTTTTTTATGAGATAAAAATAAAATGAATTTGTAAAATGTGTGTTCAACATGACCTAAAATACAATACGCCTTTT